TCACTGTTGTTCCTCAGCAGAAGAGATAAAAGTCCAAATTTAGTTGAAACTTAACCTGTTTGTGAATTGGTTCTTGAGTCAGTTAAGAGACAGTGGCCTGTTCTCAGCACAAAGTGAAAGACCTTGATTGACTGGTGAATGATGTTAGCCAACTGATGCACGTGTGTTGACAGGCAGGCAAGACAATTGTCTTTCCAGGGCAACCACATGATTCTCACAGTGCTTGTAAAGATAGTGTCTCTAGGAAATACTGCCACCTGGTCTTCAGAAAGCTACCAGTTGCCTTACCTGTACTGAATACTTTGCATAAGTATTCACAAACATCTTAGATGATAATACCATGTTTGTTACTAGGGTATTTATTGATGTAATGTTCCTCTGTCTGTTCATTGTTCGTGCTGTTGTGCATATACTTTTTCCTGACATTATCCTTAATATTTTTGTATCAATAAATTCTTTATAACTAACTTAAAAAGTTTCATATAAGCATGTTATTCAAAACACATTCAAAACATTTATTTATTTTTCTTGCTTTTTTTTTTTTTGGGCACATCCGGCAGTGCTCACTCCTGGTTTATGCACTCAGGGACTACTCCTGGCCATGCTCAGGGGACCATAGCTGGGGATCGAACCAGGATCGGGCCGCCTGCAAGGCAAATGCCCTGCCTGCTGTGCTTTCACTCCAGCCCCATATTCAAAACATTTAAAGCAAGATTTTAAAACATGGATTTGCAGTCTTGAAATCAGCTCATGATAGAGGGTTAGTTTTCATAGTGGGATTACTAATTTGACTTTATTTACTTTGGCATTTAAGTATTTTTCTGGTCTATTTTGCTAGTAGGAGACCTTAAAATAGGATAATAATAAAGTTTATTTAAAATTTTTATTTATACTTTTTGGTGGTCAGAATGACTGCTTGACTTGAAACATAAAAGATCTGACTACAATTTACTCAGTGACTAAAAGTCTTTTTTTTTTTTAAATTTTTTTTTATTAGTGAAACACCATGAGGTACAGTTGTAGATTTACAATTTTTTGTGCTTGGGTTTGATTATACAATGATCAGATACCCATCCCTCCACCAGTGCCCATTTTCCACCACCATGGATAATATCCCCCCCACCCCCATCCCCCCATCCCCCCCTGCCTCTGTGGCAGGGCAATCCCCTGTGTTCTCTCTCTCCTTTTGGGTGTTGTGGTCTGCAAAAGAGGCATTGAGTGGCAAACATGTTCAGTCCATAGTCCACTTTTGACATGCATCTCCCCTCCTGGGAGGGTCCTCCAAACACCCTTTATTTGGTGAGTGACTAAAAGTCTTAAGGGGTGAGAGGATGGTGGGAAAGGGACATGAGACAATGGTGGAGGGAAGTGTATACTCTGGGAGAGCATATAATCTTGGGCCATTGTTAAAGTTTTATAAATTATGGTGCTTCAAATAAAATTATGAAACTGATTTTAATCTTAATAAAAAGGTCTTTGAATTTGAAGTTTTTCCTATTTTATTTTCTAATGCACTTTGGTTCTTTATCAAATGCTGAAAACAACAAATTTGAAAGTCTGCTAACATACTTTTGTAAGTTATTAAGTGCTCATGCCATGATTGGTTGTGAATGTGGAGTTTTTATACTCCTAGTTCATTATACAACCATAAAACCATGATCTCGAGTAAAAGGAACAGTAGATTTGTGCCCATGAAGAATGAGACTTAATATTTGTTCTAATTCAGCTCCTATGTAAGAATTGTTCATGTATTTTTGGGAATAAAGGTGTAAAGTAATAGTAAATTTACTGTAAGTATACCCTTTTATTTTATGTTTAACCTGTATAAATAAGTATGTTGAGTCATTTTTAAAAGGGGTGGCCAAAAAGATAATAGTAGTTAAGATACTTTTCTTTTTTTTTTCTTTTTGGGTCACACCCGGCAATGCACAGTGGTTACTCCTGGCTCTGCACTCAGGAGTTACTCCTGGCGGTGCTCGGGACTATATGGCATGCCGGGAATCGAACCTGAGTTGCCCGCATGCAAGGCAAACGCCCTGCTGCTGATGCACTTGCCTCACAGGTACAGATTGACCTGCTGGTGGCACCATACCCCCCTCTTAGAAGATTTTTAATTATCAGTGGTTTTATATAAAGATTTAGAAAAGATACTTACATAAATTATAACTTTAAAGAGATGTTAGAGAGTTCTGAGTTAAATTTATTTCAGATTTTATGTTGCCAACTTTAGTACCTGATTATATTAGTATTTCTTGAGGGGAAATCATACGGCCCTCTGATGGCCCCAAGATATGCCAAGCAGGCCACAGGTGAAACTTGCACAAATGCATTAGCCAAGGCATATAACTGGGGGAGCAGTCCTTAGAAGGGAGGGGCTACAGGAAGGAAATAGAGTTGGAATGGGACCAATTTCAGAAGAAGGCTGAGAAACGAATGTGTATGTATGATCTTATATTCTAAATGTTAACTCTCAGATCGTGAGCTCAGGTAACCTTTCTAGTGTTCATTTGATTCTATTTTTCGTTAACCTGTGGTTTATTATTTCTCACAATGTATAAAACAAAGCCATATTTATGTATTAAGAGAAAATTAGTAGGGGCCAGAAGGATAGTTCAGCAGGTAAGGCACTTGCGTTGCATGCAGCCTATGCAGGTTTGATCTCTGGGTACTGTAAGTGATCCCCTGAGCACAGCTAGGAGTTATCTTGAGTACAGAGCCAAGGCTAAGCCCCGAGCACCTTTCCAAAATGATGAAATTAGTATTACTGGTAGAAGCATGTATTTTTGTTGTTATTGTTGCCGGGGATCCAGTCCAGTATAAGGCTTCGTTCATGCAGTGTATGCCCTTTACCACTAAACTCTATTTCTGTCCTTAACAACATGTTTTAATTTTATATTTTTAACATGTTTTAATTTTAAAATAACCATCTGTTATATTCCTCAATGTCATTACCACTCTGGAATTTTTTAAATCAAAAGTAATAGCAATTACTAATTTCCTATTATGTGAGAATGATTAATGAAATATGGTGTCCTTTTTCTTTTTTTTCATTTTTAATTGCCCAGCTTCTTTTTGAATAGACTCTCTGCCTTTTATATACTTGACATATTTCCAAAACAGTGAATTAATTTTAGCACTACATTAAGGAAAATAACATTGAAAATTAATTAATCCAAGGAAAATATGAATTGTTTTAAGGCTTATCTGTTGTATTATCACTCTTTTGGGTTATGACTTAACTAACAATGTTTTGTGGATACTGCTGTTTTATTTAATAAAATAAATTTCAAAAAAATTTTAGTTGAATCACTGTGAGATACACAGTGACAAAGCTGTTCATGATTGAGTTTGTCATACAATATTCCAACACCCATTCCTGTACCAGAGCACATTTCATGCCACCAGTGTCCCCAGTTCCACCCTCTCCCTGCCTGCTTTCTCTGAAGCCTGCAACAACTATAACAACTATGATAGACACTTTCTCTATCTCTCACACACTTTTCTCTCTGTCTTTCTCTGTCTCTCTGTCTCTCTCTGTATGTCTTTCTGTCTCTCTTTCTTTCTTTTTCTGTCATGCATATCACTTTACCTGTGGTCATCCTGCAGTTCTTCAGTTCTTGTCCAGATTCATCACTCTCAACTGTCCTTGTTATGGTGGACCCTTCTCTGTTCTATCTGCACTCTCCCCATGCCCCTTCTAACTGCACTCCCCTCCCGCCCCTCACTTCACTCTCCCCCCCCCCCCCACCCCAAGCTTCCTACCATGGGCCAGTCCTCCTAGCCCTTGCTTCTATTTTTTTCTTTGAGTATTATTTCATACTATTTTTTTATATCCTGCAAAAAAAATGAGTGAGATCATTCTATGTTTTTCTGTCTCCTGACTCATTTCACTCAGCATGATACTCTCTGTGACCATCCATGTATAGCGAATTTCATGATTTCATTTTTCCTAGTGGTTGCTGAATATTCCGTTGTGCAGATGTACTGTAGATTTTATTTTTTTCCGTCTTTTTTCTCCCCTGGGCTGAGTGTGGTATTTCATATTCTTCAAGTCATTTCCATGTAATTATAGTTATTTTCAATTGTCAGTTTTGGTGGGTTTGTTTTTTTTTTTTGTTACACCAGGCAATGCACAGGGGTTACTCTTGTTTCTGCACTCAGGAATTACTCCTGGCAGTGCTCAGGGGACCATAAGGGATGCTGGGAGTTGAGCCTCAGTTGGCCTCGTGCAAGGCAAACACCCTACCCACTGTGCTATCACTCTAGCCCCTCAATTGTCAGTTTTTAAAGGAACCACCACAAGCAGAGCAGAGGGGCACAGACAGGTAGTACTAATTGAGCCCCAATGATGCTTGGGAGCCACAAGAGCTATACCTGATGGTACTAGTGAAGGCATAGTGGAGGATTGAACTTTGGGCCTTTCACACACTAGGCATCAACTCTATTGCTTGAGCTCTCTTGGACTTCAGCTGTAAAGTTTTTGGCTGCTAGTATATGCTAATAGATCAGGCTTGTGCCAATGATATTTAAGTTAGACTTGAGCTGTGTAACACACACAGACACACACACACACACACACACACACACACACACACACACAAAGAATGCGGAAAATTCAGGTACAGTCCCAATGGAACCAATTTGTGTTCTTCTAAAGTCAAGCAAAACCTTTCTGAGTCCCTATAAAATTCTTATATCTGGGATGAGATATTGTATGGTATTATGATACATCTGTTCTACTCATTTTATATTACCACATTTGAATTATGGACTTATAAAATATCTCAAATTGCATTGTTCAATGACTAAGGTAGATTTTATGTACCTTGAGTCTTTTGAAAGGTAGTTTTCAAATGAAATCATATTCAAATTAAATGATTTTAAATTTAAAATCATTTAATAAACAAAAATCTCAGTATAAATTCATTCACTCTTTGATAATTCTGTCTTTTGCTTAAAAACTTATTTATATCGTTCTTTTATGTTATATATTTCTTAAGGTCAAAGGAAATAGATTGGCAGCCTTACTTTACTACACGCATTGTAGATGATTTTGGCACACACCTTCGAGTATTCAGAAAGACCCAACAGAAGATAACAGAGAAAGATAATCAAGTAAAAGGTAACATTTTTATTCTGTTAGAAAATTAGAGTTTGAGAAAATCTATTTTTATTGTTCCTTCTATCTTGAATTGACCCTTTTTTTGTCCAGGTACAGCAGAGGACCTTGTAGCTACCTTCTTTGAAGTTGAAGTTGAAATGGAGAAGGACGTTTGCCGTGATCTAGTGTGCACTTCTTCCAAAGATGAAGAAGGTTTTCTTTTCATTAATTTTTTGAGAAAAGGAACTGTTCAAATTGATTAAAGACAAGATAGTATAACCAATGAATGAAATCTAAGGATAGAACTGTTTGTACAGATCAGACAACATAGTAAAGATACTATTCATTTTATTCTAAATATGCAAAAATAGTTTTCAGTTGTTAAAGGGCATCATTTTCTCAGAATGATTATAATGATGTCAAGTAAAATTTATGTACTTAAGCAGACTTCTGGTCTTTGTGGGAGTTTAGGTCAGATTTGTTTGATCTAAGAATCTTCTTTTCCTAGTACTGTTGAGAGTCTTCTTAGCATGTGTTTTGATTAATAGGCCATCTCTATTATTACGTCCGCAGAAAGTATATGCTCAGAAATTAAAGGAGAAAAGCATTTCTCACTGTGGAAATTGACTTGTTACATTCTTTAAAATGTATTTTGCATTTTAGTTTGCCTTTTTCTCTTAGTTTTCCTGATTTCTTGTACATTGTACAGTTCAATTTTAATTGCTAGTTCACTGACACTGATAACTAAATGTAAGAAATATATATAATATATAGTACTTTTATATAAATTAAACCTTCTTAAATCAGTCAAACAAATGAGCATAATTCTTTTTCTATTGTTATTAGCTTCAGATAGTTGAAATTCTTTCTTGAAATAATTACTTTGTTAAGGTTTTTAATGTGAAAATAACTTTCAGACATGCAAAGATAATGTGTGCAGAATACATAAGTATAGTCGAAAATTAGGAGGAAAAATGCTTCTGTAATTAAAGCTTCTCAAATGATTCAGAAAGTATCAAAAACCTGAGCAGAATTTTAAAGTATTTTTGAATTATTACTGTTGCGAGGGTAAAGAAGGCAGATGATTTAATTACTAGAATTGTGAGGAAACTGCTTAAGTTTACCAAATGAGGAAATTGCTTTAAGTTTATATATCAAGAAAAGGTAGAGAGTCTGTTATATCTACATTTTTTCCCCCCATTTCTAGGTTTTCTAAGAGATTTGTGTGAGGTCTTATTATATTTATTGCTACCTCCTGGAGATTTCCAGAACAAGATCATGCGATACTTTGTCAGGGTAAGCTTGAACTTATTTCAACTAGATGGTTATACAGAAATTTAGAATGGTGATTGTTAAAAGTTTTAGCTGGTTGTTACTCTTAAAATCAAGAATCCCAAGGAATTTTTTTAAATTTGGGTTTTAGCATTACTGTTTCTCATATTACAAATTAAATAGAAATTTTGATATGCAGGAATACATAATCATACATTCCATTAGCTGATGATGATACTATTTCTTTATCATTTAGAAAATGAGAGTGGAAAGGCAGTGTATTACTATGAATACAATTTTGACAGAAGAGGCACTCTAAACGTGTCTTAGATAACATCTCCCTTAAGATTCTTGGATCAGTGACATGAGGACTCTCTGACATAGAATTATGTAGTTGGATTTTAAGAGTTAAAAATCCTTGTAGTATTTATGTAAAGGAATATGTTATAGGTGTTGGCTACTGATCATGATTAAGAAATACTAGCTACACAGGGAGAGCTTGGTATTTAGTGAGGGATGTGATATGTAGCTTGTATTTTTAAAACATGAAAAATTGTATTCCTAAAACTTGATCTTGTAAACCAGTGTAACTTTACTGAGAAATAAAGTATTAAATGACAAATAGACCTTATCTTGGTTGAATGAATTTTCTAGTTTGTTTTATAAGCTTATAATCTCTGGTATGCCATTCTTCAAATCTGACTAGTCTCTTAGGTGTGCTTTTAGGTATTTTGTTATTTAGGTAATACCATTACCAGTATTATACCAATACCCCAATAATCCCTACCATTGGTATATTGGTATAACACAGGAAGTACAATTTTTTTTTCTTCTTTGGGGTCACACCTGGTGATGCTCATGGGTTACTTCTAGCTCTGTATTCAGGAATCACTCCTGGCAGTGCGCAGGGAACCATACGGGATGCAGGGAATTGAACCAGAGTTGGCTATGTGCAAGGCAAAGGCCCTTCCTGCTGAATTATCTCTCCAGCCCCTAAATTTTTGGTTTTGACATAAAAGTTTGATGGAATAACTACATATTGTTAAGTCCCAATTATTTGGTCCAGTTGGGGCATGCCTATCACTAGATTCACGGTGACTGTTGAAAGAAAATATTTCTAATTAGGTAGAGCTAGAGTGGAGCAGTGGTACATTGGTAGGGCATTTGCCTTGCATGTGACTGACCCAGGTTCAATCCCTGGCATTTCATATGGTCCCCCCCCCCCACCCCCGAGCATAACCAGGAGTAATTCCTGTATACATAGTCAGAAGTAATCCCTGAGCATCTCTGGGTGTCATCCAAAATTAAAAAATCAGTATCTTTATCAACCTAATACTTCAGACAGACACTATTAGACAGTATTTCAGCAGAGTTTCACATGACTGAGCATCTTTTCCTTTTTGAAACTCTCTTTTGGGGGTTTCATGCCCTTGATACTTTCTGATTTTTTGTGTCCTTTGATTCCTGTTTAGTCACCTTCTTTTGTTTGACCTTCTTTTGTTTGTTTGTTTTTTATTTCACACTTGACTGTGCTCAGGGCTTGCTCCTGGCTCTGCAATCAGGAATTACTCCTGGTGGATTCAGGGGATCATATGAAATGTGGGGGGTAGAACCCAAGTGTCTCATGCAAGGCAAGCGCCCTCCTGCTTTGCTCTCTTCAGCTCCCTTTTTAGTCAGCTTTATGTACTTTAATGTATCCTCTTGATTTTTAAATTATATTTATGGTTTTTTTGTTTGTTTGTTTTTCTGTTTAGTTTTTTCCTTTGGTGTTTGGGCCATTACCACTGGTGTTTAGGATCATTTCTGCCTCTGTGCTTAGAAATCACTCCAGGTATAGCTCAAGGGACAGCATGGGGTTCTGAGGATTGAACCTGGAAGAGCTGTATGCAAGACAAGCACCTTACCTGCAGTAGTGTATCTCCCACTACCCAGTATTTTTAACTGGGTCTGTTTGTATTTATCATTATGTACTTTTAGCATACCCAGTCCTTTTCCTGATAATTTATTCTCAAGACTTTAAACACCATTTATATTTTGATGACTTCCAAAGATACATCATTGTCCAAACTTCATTTCTCAGTTTTGCTACTCTGACCAACTTCTCCCTGAACTAATTTTAAAACTTTAAATGTCCAAAATGGAAATCTTGCCTCTTGCTTTTATGTCTTGTTTTTACTTTTCTCTCTGATAATGGTATGACTATGCAAAAAAATTTTCAAATCTTGAGTTTTTTCAAAGGTTTACAAGAACATGCATGTGAATTTGATTTTCTTGTGTTATTTAGTCATTATAATCCAGGCGCAATGACTATTTTTATCCAAAAGTACCATTTTATATCATTATACAACTATTTCATATTCTTTTAGTACCCTGTTCAGAAGATCTCCTTTTCTTTCCTGGCTAACTGTACTCTTCTCTCTTATTTTACATCCTCAGAGATGCCTTCTTTGACAGTACAATCTAGAAAAACAAACCCTCACAATTCCCTTTACCCAGTTATTTTTTTTCGTAGCACTTACTACATAGATATAGTGCATATATATATATATATATACACACGTGCATATATGTATATATATGCACTTGCTATATATATTATTAAATATAATTTTTAAGTTATTTTTTTTTCTTTTGGGGCCACACCGGGCAGTGATCAGGGCTTACTTCTGTTGCTTGGAAGATCATTTGGGCTGCCAGGGTTTGAACCCGAGTCAGCTGTGTGCTAGGCAAATTCCTTACCCACTGTATTATTGCCTCTGTCACTGTCACTGTCCTCCTGTTGTTCATCCATTTGCCCGAGTGGGCCCAGTTACATTGTGAGACTTGTTACTGTGTTTGGCATATCAAATACGTCATGGGTAGCTTGCCAGGCTTTCCCATGTTGGCGAGATACTCCCGGTAGCTTGCCGAGCTCTCCAGGAGGGGCAGAGGAATAGTACTCAGGTTGGCTGTATCAGTTGTATGCGGCCGACATTTGGTCCCTGATCTTGACTGCAAGCACCATGCAGCGTTGAGTGGGAGTAGACCCTAAACATGTTCTAGTGGAGCCCCCAACCCCAAACACAAATAAAAAAGTAAGGGTGTGAAGAGAAAATTTGTCTTGCTGTTGAATGTTATTATGCTCTTTGTGTGTGCATGTTTCTGCTAACCTAGATTGCAGTCCAGTGCTTGGGCCAGGCCAGAGGAGCTGGTACTAGGGATCCTGTGTTGCTCAACGCCAAGCAGTGCTCAGGAAACCACATTATGCTAGCGATGGAGCCTGTCCAGTACAGATGGCTGGCTCCATTTCCTCACTCTGAATTGCTCTTTTTGAGCAATGTTTATTTTTGGTTGGATCTGATTGAGTCCAATGTAATTATAGAGCCCTATGTTTAGCAAATTAGTTTTTTTCTTGTAGCACTGACTGTAGCACTGTCCTCCCATTGTTCAATTGATTTGCTCGAGCAGGCAACAGTAACATCTCCACTGTGAGACTTGTTGTTACTCTTTGGCATATCTAATACACCATGGAGAGCTTTCCAGGTTCTGCCATGCATGCGGGATACTCTTGGTAGCTTGCCAGGCTCTTCAAGAGGGATGGAGGAATCGAACCCGGGTCAGCTGCTTGGAAGGCAAATGCCCTACCCACTGTGCTATAGCTCCAGTCCTTTTTTTTTTTTGTAACATGATCATTTATCAGTTTTCGTTTGATGGCAAAACCAGCAAAAGATATTTTACTTTATATGAATCCTTTGTGTGAATTACGGCAGATCACAGTATTTCACTAAGATAATTTCTGTTCAGTTGCCTCTGCTTTCTTTCCATTACTTTGTTTTATTTATTGAAAATTCCTGGTTTCATTTAGAGCTTCATGCATGAAAGCTGATACTTATTTTAATAGAGCCTCTTTTAAAATGGCTAATTATTTTGGAATATTTAGATCTCACAAGAACCTGTTTAGAAATTATTGAATTACAGCCAATTGTAATGAAACCATTTTATGAAGGAAACTAGGAAAACAAAGTTATTTTCAGAGAAACACTGATCTTCCCTTCCCATTGTTTTGGTGATAAGGAATTGTGTGTATCTGCCAGTGTGCACATACATGCGCACACATACACACACGCACTCAGAAATGGTGCTGTTTCTTCCCAGGGCTGTCTACTTCTCTTCCAGTGCTACATGGATCTGTCCACACACACACGCACACACACACACACACACACACACACACACACACACACACACTCACCCACACTACTTTCCGTTTCATCCCAGGGCTGTCTACTTCCTTTACAGTGTTACGTGGATCTGCTGTGCATCTGAAATCACTTGGTTCGGGGGGAGTCCCAGAGAACAGCATCTGGTCTCCGGGGGTGAATTTAAAGTCTCATGCTGGCAAGTGTTTTTGTGCCACTGAGCCACCCACAAGCCCCACACCCTGAAATAAGTTTTTAAGAAATCTTCCCCATGCATTTTTGTTATGGTTGTTTTAGAAACGTTGAAAATACATTTATGTGTGACATAAAATACATTTATGTATGTTAAAATGTACAAGGTGCATTTTAGAATATGAGCACATAGGGTCAGAGCCATAATTTGAAGAAGGAATTATATAAATACAATTTTATATAAAAATAAACATTTTTAAGAAGTTAGCGACTAAATATAACATTGAAAGAATAACCTATTCCTTCTCATTTTAGACTATAAAATATCTCAAAAGTCATTTCAAAATGCCCTTGGAACCTTTTGGAAATATTAATTCAACGTAGGGTATTATTAAAGATCTATATAGTTTATGAAAGTAGAAAGGGTGAATTTTTATGAACTTATACCAAAAAGGCCAGATAACCAGTATCATAAAAAATAAAAAAAAAAAAACCTGAAAAAAAATGGGCCTTAAATGGAGAATTCCTTCTGTTAATCATTGAAGGAAGAGCAGACATTTAGTAGGTGGGAGCATGAGCAATTGTAGGGAATGGGAAGGTGTTTGTCAAACCTTTTTCCAGCTCTGGCCTTGTCCTTATGGCCAAAGAAAACTTTGTTTCCTTCCTCTGTGGCCTGAAGAATGGCCTCCAACAAGGGCATAGTTCTTAACCCTGTTCTATCTTTCTGACTCGTGTATTAAATTCTGATTAGAGAAATTGAGAATTTGTTTTTAACTTTTGTTTAGGAAATTCTTGCACGAGGAATTCTTCTCCCTTTAATAAATCAACTCAGTGATCCTGATTATATTAATCAGTATATCATATGGATGGTGAGTACTTTCTAAAATTTTAATTCTTTGTTCAAAATGCCTTTATTCAGTTGTAAAACACAGTTTGGGGTTCAGAATGATAAAGCAGTATTTGTGTGGGGAGGGACATCCCAAGCTATGTATAGAGGTCCGGGCCTTTTTCCTGGTGTTTAATGCTTGAAACCCTCTATAGCTGTCTTCCAAACTTGTGTTTCAATTTTGTGCTTCCACTAACAACTTTTTGAGAACATTGTGATCATCGTTTTTATGTTATGTTATTGTGGTAGGTTTGGGTTTACTTGATAACTGATGTACTTATTTACCTGTCCCATTTGTGCACTTACAGTCATTGGGCTCCAAATACTTTACAGTATTTGGGCTCCATATTAAGAATGAACAAATCTGGGGCCAGAGAAATAGTTGAGAAATAGTTTAGGTAAGGTCCTTGCCTTGCTGAGCACTGTCACAGTGGCCTGGGTAATCACCAGCAAAGCAGGGTCCTACTAGTTCTATTTCCCAGGAATCATGGAAGAGGTCCTGAGTCCCCTGAGGGCCTGTTGGCAGCCCTTTACCCACCCCACACCCTTCTGTCCCAAATAAAGGAAAACTACAGCTTGGTTAAATCCAGCTTAAGTTACTGTTTTATTTCTATTTTTTACAGCAAGTAGAGAAAAAAACAAAATAGTAGAGGTATTCATGTTGCCAGTAATTCTGTTTATTTGTATCAGACTGCCACTCCTCTGTGAAACACTCTTCAGTAATAGTTTGTTCCATTTATAGTGAAAACTAAAACTTTTCTTATATTCTGCTAAGTTTATCTTCCATCACCATTGTCTCTGTTCGTCTTCTTCCTTTCTTTTGGATTAGTTTGACCCATAAAGGCTTCCAGGCTTCACCAGATATGTTTAACAAATTGTTTAGTGTGCAATCTAGCATACTGGCTTTTGTTTACAGTCTGTCTCACAAGAATGTAAGTACATTAAATAGAGAGATTTTCATTTTGTTTCATTTTATAAGCACTTGGGATCTAGGTGATTGTGACTGTCATGTGGTAGACACTCAGTATGTCATCCTTTTTATATGTGAGTCCCAGTCCCACATGTTTTATGATCTTTATTTTCAGATCCGAGATTCTAATTGCAACTATGAGGCCTTTATGAACATTATTAAATTGAGTGACAATATTGGAGAACTAGAAGCAGTCAGAGATAAGGCAGCAGAAGAATTACAGTATCTTCGATCTTTAGATACTGCTGATGATGGTAATTTATTAAAATATAAGAATTTTTTGTTTTACTGATTACTGTATCTTTAAAAAACTTAAATTTAAGTGTCGGGGCTGGAGCGATAGCACAGTGGGTAGGGTGTTTGCCTTGCATGCAGCCAACCTGGGTTCGATTCTCAGCATCCCATATCGTCCCCTGAGCACTGCCAGGAGTAATTCCTGAGTGAAGAGCCAGGAGTAACGTCAGGAATGACTGAAGGGGGAGGGGGAGAGAAGTATTTGTTAGTATAAATAAAATACAAATATATTGATAAAAAATATAAATAGTGTCATCTTACTATTTCCCCCTTATAACTGAAGTCATTTTCTTATGATAGCATGTGCTAAATTTAAACTATTAAATTTTCTGTACGTGGGACTTATGATTGTAGCTCTTTTCTCTAAATTCAACTAATATGGCTTAATTTTAATTAATTTTACTTAATTAAAATTAAGCTGGAGCGGGCTGGAGCGATAGCACAGCAGGTAGGGCGTTCGCCTTACAAGCGGCCAACATGGCCGACCCGAGTTTGATTCCTCCGCCCCTCTCGGAGAGCCCGGCAGGCTACCGAGAGTATTCGATATGCCAGACACAGTAACAACAAAGTCTCCAATGGAGACGTTACTGGGCCTGCTCGAGCAAATTTTACTTAAAGTTAGATTTATTAACAAATAATTGTTCTCTTCATTGGTTATTATTATAGTAGTTACACATTGGTTGTTGTATCAGTTATTATGTTAATATATTGGTTATTACAGTAAGCACATTTTTGGTCTATTTAAAAATAGATTTACAGCTTTGTAACTCAAAATCAATAATTTTGTTTTTAGATATCAACACTATCAAAAATCAAATAAATAGCTTATTATTTGTAAAGAAAGTATGTGACTCAAGAATTCAGCGGTTACAGTCTGGCAAAGTAAGTACTTTAAAATTGATGTTTAATTATAAATATTTTGTATTACTTAAAAAGTCTAACTGACAAAATGTAGGATATTAACCACTACCGCATAATACCAAAGAACTTTTAGAAAAAAACTTTATATGCAATATAGCATGGTGAACTTTTACCAAACTTAGGTAAGGAGAGCAAAGCATTGCCTGAAGATGCTGTAATATTTTACTTCTTCGTTTATTTAGTCAGCTATATATTATTTATTTATTTATTTAATTTTTGGGTAAGATGCGGTCTATTGTATTTATTAAGAAAATGTCTTTTTAGGGTCTGGAGCGATACTACAGCAGGTAGGGAGTTTGCCTTGTGTTTTGATCCCTGGCATCCCATATGGTCCCCTGTGTACCACCAGGAGTAATTCTTGCATGCAGAGCAAGAAGTAACCCCTGAGCATCGGAGAGTGTGACTCAGAACAGAAAAAAAATTATAAATTAGTGTGAGATACATAGTTACAAAGTTCATGATTGAATTTTGGTCATACAGTGTTCCAATATCCATCCCTTCACCAGTGCACATTTTCCACCTCTAATGATCCCAGTTTTTCTCCCTATCCTGACTCCCTCCCTCCCTCCCTCCCTCCTACCCACCTACCCTGGCAGGCTGCCTATATGGCAAACGTATTTCTTCTTTCTTTCTCTTTCTCTAATTTTTCTTTTAGACACTTTAGTTCGCAATACTATTATTGAAAGGGTATCATATATATCACTTTACCTCCTTTCAGCACTCAGTTTTAGTCCAGAGTGATCATTTCCACCTATCATTGTCAGAGTGGTCCCTTCTCTCTACTGACTGTACTTGCCCTCCCACTTTGTGGCAAGCTTCCAACCATGGACCCATCCTCCTGGTCCTTGTTTCTACTGTCTTTGGGTATTATTCACATACTATGTGGGTTTTTTTTTTTAAATATACCAAAAATTAGTGCAGTCATTTTCTGTTTGTCCTCTCCCTCTAACTCATTCCACTCAGCATGATACTCTCCATGTCCATCCATGTATAAGAAAATTTCATGACATTTTTCCTAACAGCTTTGTAATACTCCATTGTGTAGATGTAACATAGTTTCTTTATCCATTCATCTATTCTCAGGCATTTGGGTTATTTCCAGATTCTAGCTATTGTCAAAAGTATTGTAATGAACATAGGAATGCAAATGCCTTTTCTACATTGTTTTTTGGGCCACAAGGGTTAATTCCCAAGAGTAGTATTGGTGTGTAGTATGGAAGCTCAACTTCTGTTTTTTTGAGGAATGTCCATATTGTTTCTCAGAAAGGTTGGACCAATTGGCATTCCCACCAGGAGTGAATGAGAGTACCTTTCTCTCTGTATCCAAACCAGCACTGGTTGTTCTTTATGATATGTGCCAGTTTCTGTGACATGAGATGTTATCTCACTGTTATTTTGATTTTCATCTCCCGGATAATTAATGATTAGAGCACTATATCATGTGCCTTTTGGCCATCTTTATTTCTTTGAGGAAGTTTCTGTTCATTTCTTCTCCCCATTTTTTAATGGGGTTGAATTTTTTTTTTTTTACTTGTAAAGTTTAACCAGTGCCTTAAATATCTTGGATATTAACGCTTTATCAGATGAGTGTTTTATAAATAATTTCTTCAAATAATGTCCTTGTATCCTGGTCATCGTTTCCTTTGCAGTGTAGAAACTTCTTAGTTTATTCTAGTCCTGTTTATCTTTGCTTCCACTTGCTTGGTTCGTGGTGTTTCATCCTTGAAGATACCTTTACCTTCAATGTTATGGAGAAGTCTACCTTTGTTTTTCTCTGTGTTCCTTATGGATTCAGGTCAGATATCAAGGTTTTAATCCTTTTTTTTTTTTCATGTAGCTGACCATCCTAGCACTACTTATTGAAGAGACTTTCCATGTTCTACTTTTCTACTTCACATTTTTTGCTCCTTCATCAAAGATTAATTCATCATGTATTTAAGGGTCTGTGTCAGTATACTCAGCTTTATTTCGTTGGTCTGCAGGTGTATCTCTATTTCAATACCATGCTGTTTTAATTGCTACTGCTTTGTAGTACAGTTTGAAGTTGGGGAAGATGATGCCTCACTTCTTTCCCAAGGACTGCTTTAGCAGTTCAGGTGGGTGGGGGCTTATTGTTCCATGTGACTTTTAGAAGTATTTGATTGCACTGAATCTGAACAATATTTTGGGGGGAATTGCCATTTTGATGATACTGATTGTCCAAGTTCATGAGCATGGATGTGTTTCCATTTCCTTCTGCTCTATTTTATTTCTTAAAATAGTTTTTTTTAAATATTCTTTGTGTAGGTCCTTCACCTCTATAGTTAAGTTGATTCTAAGGTACCTGATATTCTGAGGCACAATTGTAAATGGGAATTTTTAAAAAATATCTCTTTCTTCTGTTTCATTAATCTGTATATAGGAAAGTCATGGACTTTTGCATATTAATTTTGTAGTCTGTGACTTTCCAAGTCTATTGTTCCTAGGAAACTTTTTTTGTAGCATCTTTAGGATTTTCTGAATATACTTTAATGCCACCTGCAGATCGTGAGTTGTGTTATGTTGATTGAATTGCATATGTTAAATCATCCTTGCATTCCTAGGATGAATCATACTTAGTCATAGTGTACAATCTTTTTGATGAATTGTTCGATTCCATTTGCTAGTATTTTGTTGAGGATATTTGTGTCTGTGTTTACCAAGGATATTGGCCTGTAATTCTCTTTTTTGCTGCTGTCTCTGTCTGTTTGTTGTATTAGAGTGATGTTTGCTTCATAGAAACTGTTTGGGAGTGTTTTTATTTCTTTGGTTTTCTAGAAGAGCCTGAGAGGGATTGGCAATAAAGGTTTGATAAAATTCACTAGTAAATACAGCTGGGCTTTGGCTTTTGATTTGGGAAGACTTTTAATTACCATTTAAATTTCCTTGAGAGTAATAGATTTGTTCAGGTATTTTGGATTATCTTGGTTCAGCCATGGAGGTTATAGGAATCAGGAATTTCATTTTTTTTTAAGTTTCTCTTATTTCTTGGCATAAAGATTCTCAAGTTAATCTCTGATGATCCTTTGAATTTCTATGATGTCTGATGTGATTTGTCCTCTCATTTCTAATTGGTTTATTAGGGTTCTCTCTTTTTTTGTGAGTCTTGCTAGCAGTTTATCAGATTTTTTTTTGGGGGGGGGAAATTCCAGTTCATTAATTTCTACTCTTAAATTTCCTTCCTCTTGCCTGCTTTGGGCTCCTTTTGTTGGTCATTATCCAGTTTTTTAAGTTGTTCAGCCAAATTATTTATGTGGCTCCTTTCTTCCTTTATGAATGCTTGTATAGCAATGAACTTTCCTCTCATCATGACTTTTGCTTTATCCCACCAGTTCTAGAAGGTAACGCCCTCATTCTTGTTTGTTACCATAATCTTTTAATTTCCTCTTTGACTTCCTCTTTGACCCGCTGGTTGTTCTGTAATGAGCTCTTTGTTGTTGTTCTCCATTTCTCTTTGTGATTGCCTTCTACTTTCAGTGCATCATGGTCTGAAAAGATAGTTGATATAATTTATATGCTTTTGACTTTGTGCAGATATGTTTTGTGTCACAACATGTGGTCTATCTTGAAAAATGCCCCATATGCATTGGAAAAGAATGTGTATTTGATTTGACCTTTTGAAGATGAAAGACCCTATATATATTTGCTAACCTCCCTCTTCGTTTTGTCCCTTAAATAATGTATGTTCTTGTTGAACTTTAGTTGATCTATCAAGAGGTGACAAAGTGGTGTTGAACTCTCCAGCTACTGTTATGTTGCCCATCATTGTCTTTTTTCAAGTCTATTAGTTATTTTAAGAATTTTGCTGGTGCCTATACATTTAGGAGTGTGAGTTGTTCCTGATGTACATATACATCGCTTGATCATTAAGAAATTAACTTTGCTGTCTCTTACATTCTTTTTCAGCCCAAAGTTTATGTCATAGGATACTAGTCTGGCCACCCTGGCATTTATCTGAGGGGGTTGTTTGGTTGAAGAATTGTCATCCAGTCTTTGGTTTTGAGTCTTTGCTCTGACTGTTGAAATGTGTTTCTTGCACATTAGGAATGACATAGGAAGATTAAGTATTTTGGATTAGGAAGATTTCATAGTAAGAGTTCATCCAGAACTTTTTGATAGAATTTTTTTTAGATATACTTTGTGAATGGAAAAACTCTTCAGTTCTGCCTAACAATTGAAAGCAAGAAGCAACTCTTAAGGATCATTTTTATGACTACTAACCTCCAACTTGGTGAAGATGTTTAGAAAACTGTGAGGAAAATCTGAATATGTGTGAAGGCAAGCAGTGTACAGATAACTCTTACATAGCAAACAAAGCACTTTGTAGCTATTGTGTATTATCTCATTCTTATTGATTCCCCTATATTTTATTATAAATATTTCTTATTGTCTTCATTTTATTTTTCTATCTATAGCCCCCTCACAGGTAATTCCTGTTCTTTTTTCAGTGTCAGCCGGTTTTGTTTTGTAATGTTTTTAACATACCTGGCAATGTTCAGGTCTTACTTCTGATTCTATCTCAGGAACCACTCCTGGCAGGGCTCCAGGAACCATATGGAGGGCCAGGGGGAACCATATGGAGGGCCAGGGATTGAACTCAGGGGTTGGCTGTATGTGTACAGCAAGTCCCCTGCCTGTTCTATAGTACTATCGCTCCAGTCCCCCACACCCCCCCCCCCCACTTTTTTAAAATTATGAAGTTAGATGCCTTGTTTTACTACATTGAAAAATACATTTCCTGTAGTGAATATAGAGATTTAACTTTGATAGGAAAAAAATTGCTCTTTGGAAATATTGTCTCTTTCTCCAGTAGATTTCAGTCTATACTTAGAAGAGATGCTGCTATTTGTTTATTCTTAGATATACTAAGCATTTGCAATGCCTCTTTACCATTTAGCCTAATAAAATTTTATTTTTCTTTGTGACATGTGGATAAACTTCGAAAATATGACCATTTAGCTTCATTAATCTGTATTCTTTATTCTGGGGGAAGTTATCAACAAAATTTTTAGATTTTTCATTTTGATAATCAAATATAGAAATGAATGTGTGTCATACTTTTAATGTATATTCACTAAAATGACTCTTAACATGTCTATTAGAGATTTTATATACAATTTTTTTTAGGAACTCGCTAAATAAGAAAGAAATAACTTTACTCTTACTCTATTTTATTTAACTTATGTATTGATAGACAAGTAGTCTAACAAAAGAAAAGATAAAATGATAACCAACATCTATTTTGATTTGAAGGAAATAAATACTGTGAAACTGGCAGCAAACTTTGGAAAACTTTGCACAGTCCCCCTGGACAGCATTCTTGTAGACAATGTGGCACTACAGTTTTTTATGGGTAGGTAAATTCATTTTAGGAAAACGTTAATCTTTGTAAATATTGTTAAACTTTAAATGCTCAATATTAAGCATACCAAATATACTTCTCCTTCTTTAAGTGTTTCCACTTTTTTTGGAAACCATATGAGTAAAGATTTGTTTGAAGGCTGTGTGTATTATAACTCTTTTATACATTTGCTCAGTAGTTTTAAAAATAAATTTAGGAGATAATACTATGAATCTAAATTATTTGAGAAAGAGTTCTATATCAGGAATATACCATGCTAGAGCAAGCACTGAGTAGGGCACTTGCCTTTCATGTGGCCAACCTGAGTTTGATATCTTGTAACTCCATATGGCCTCTCAGTCCTACTAAGAGCGATTCCCTGAGCACAGGGCCAGGAATAGGCCTTGAGCCCCGCTGGGTGTGACCCCTGCCCCCCAAAAAAGAATGTGCTATGGATACATACCTATTTGTATCATGTTTGTGCAAGATAAAGGAGAAATTTTGTTTCTGCTATTTTATTTATTTATTTATTTGCTTTTTGGGTCACATCTGGCGATGCACAGGGGTTACTTCTGACTCTGCACTCAGGAGTTATTCCTGGCGGTGCTCAGGGGACCATATGGGATGCTGGGAATCGAACCCGGGTTGGCCATGTGCAGGGCAAACACCCTACCCACTGTGCTATCTCTCCAGCCCGTTTCTGCTATTTTAATAAATAGAAATATTTAATACACCTTTAAATTTTTATTATGTTTAATCAAAATTGCTTTTATCTGGGGGAAATTATCAATGAAATTCCCAGATTCTTTATTTTGATAATCAAAAATAGAAATTTATACTTATTAAAGAATATTGTCCTGATCTTAATATTTTTTAATGTGATTAATATTCTTTTTGCAAGCAGAAGCTGAATGTAAGGTAATTTATTTCTGATTAAATCTTGCATAGCATTTTTATGCTCTAGAGATATTGTCATGAAAAGAGAGAACTTAAAAAAAAATGTGCTTTTATATGTGTTTCCTCCAGTAGTGGTTGTTTTAGTATAACCAGTTCATGACAAAACATTTTGTCACTCTAGGCAGTTGTTAAACACTTTCAAATGTAAGATTTTGAGTATTAGAAATTTTAATCCTCCTTAGTCTGTTTGCCACACAGCTGCAATTATTCTGAAATGTTTGACATTTACATAAATGTTATTATGGATTTTGTGTTATAGATTACATGCAGCAAACTGGAGGTCAAGCACATCTCTTCTTCTGGATGACAGTGGAAGGATACAGGGTTACAGCTCAGCAGCAGTTAGAAGTTTTATTAAGTCGTCAGAAAGATGGGAAACATCAGACCAATCAAACAAAAGGTCTATTAAGGGCAGCTGCTGTTGGAATTTATGAACAGTATTTATCAGAAAAAGTGAGTGTGTACTTCAGTTACTGTTTATCTTTTTTTGGCAGTATTAATAAATATTTTTAGTACTTACAAATATCTATTGGGCTGGAGCGATAGCACAGTGGGTAGGGCATTTGCCTTGCATGTGGCCGACCCGGGTTCAATTCCTCTGTCCCTCTCTGAGGGTCCGGCAAGCTACTGAGAGTATCTCGCCCGCACGGCAAAGCCTGGCAAGCTACCTGTGACGTATTCGATATGCCAAAAACAGTAACAACAAGTCTCACAATCACAATTTGTTGTGAGACGTTACTGGTGCCCGCTCGAGCAAATCGATGAACAGGAGGACAGTACTACAGTGCTACAAATACCTGTTACTAAGCAAGGCACAGTTAACTCAAGAAAATTGTCTCATTTAACTCTGATAATAGTTTTATTATGTTGCATTTTCATTTTCAGGTTATCTATAAAATTGATTTAATTTATTTGCTAAACTCAGATTTGAGGGTCAAACGTATTGTAGAATCAAAGACATATTAGATAGAAAACAAGTGGATGGAAAAAGATAAACCATGCAAAATTAACCAAAACGAACTGATGTACTAATATTAGATAATATATTTTAAGGCAAACACTACTGAAAAACAGAGGAACATTTCATAATGGCTGCTTGATAAAATAATAAAATATAAACTATAGTTAATAACAAAGTTCCATACTTGAACAGAAACTGAAGGAATTTGAAGGAAGAAATAATAGGTAATTAAGAAATAATAGTTGGAGATTTCTTAATTGATAGAAAAATTAGAAAATGACCTACGTCAGTTAGACCTAACATATATATAGAATACTTCTGCAGACAACTGCAGGATACATTTTATTTTCAAGCACATATGGAATATTCTACAATTTATGCCGTTTATTAGGCCATAAAACAAGTTCTATTTTAAAAGTATTGAAGTCATTTGAAGCATGTCTTTTGATTGTAATATAATTGATTAGTAATCAACAACAGAAGGAATTTTGTAAGAAAAATAAACAAGGTGTTTCTAAATAACCTATAAGACAAAAGGAAATCAGAAAAAATTAGAAAATTTTGATTGAATGTATATAAATATTGATATGATTTATAGGCCGAAGTCAGAGCTGAGGAATACAGCAGTGCTGAAAAGATAAATGTGCATCTTTAAATTTCCAGTTAGAATAAGATTTCAAATCAAGAATCTATGTTGTTTTTTCTTAAAAACCTAGAAAAGAAACCCAAAATAAATGGAGGGTCAACAAGAAGAAAAACAAGAATGGAAATCAGTCAAATCGGAAAAAAACTGTAGCTAGAAACAGTAAAACCAAAACTTATTTGCTGAACAATACTAACAAATCATTTTCTAGACAGGCAGGTGAGAAAGATACACATCACCAAAATCATGACTAAAAGAGAGACTAGAATTGCCAGCTCTATAGAAATTTGTAGGCCTATAGAAAATACTATAAATTAGAAAGTAAACAGAAGAATTGGACAGACTTTAGGATTGGGATAGTAAAGTGACCAGGGTGTATGCCTAACATTTCCTGGACCTAGGTTGGATCTAGTACTGCTTGCCCCCTAAACATCAGCAGGTGTGGCCCTGGAAACCTCAGAGTAACATTGGGGTAGGCTAGTGGCCCCTAACACCCCAAGTCCTTAGCAGTACCACATCACAACATGTAGTTAATGGGACCTACCAGATGAAATTGTGTAAATTAAATATGTCAGTAGTAATCTCAGAAAGCCAAAGACATCACATAGTACACAATGGAATAATATTACCCTCCTTGTAATCATCATGTTGTATGTTATAATGTGTATTTACTAGCACAAATATATATATGTATATATATTTACATATATGTATATACACAGTATATATTTGAAAGCATCACTTTAATTTGAAAACTATTGAATGAACTTGCTTTTTAATTTTTTTAATTTTCAAATTTTTCAGTTTAGGGGCCACACTAAGCAATTTTTAGTACTTACTCCTGACTCTGCACTAAGAGATCACTCTTGATGAGGGTTAGGGGGACCATGGTGGGTGTCAGAGATCGAACCTGGGTTGGCCGCGTGCTAGGCAAGCACTCTTTTTCTTTGCTATCTCTCCTGCCCCATGTCTGCGATTTCAAATTGAAGTTTCAATTGATTAAAGTTTGATTGGCAGCATTATAATTTTCAGATCTTTCTTTCCATATCACTGGATTTTTTTTCCTTGTAGAAAGTGTTGTATTTTTTTTTAAACCGTAAGATATTTATTTATTTTTCTTAAGTTTTTATTAGTGAAATACCCTGAGGTACAGTTGTAGACTTACAAATTTTTGTGCTTGGGTTTCAGTTATATAATGATCAAATACCCATCCCTCCACCAGTGCCCATTCTCACCACCACCAGTCCCAGTATCCCTCCCAACCCCCTTCCCCCCAAGCCACCCTACCACTGTGGCAGGGCATTCCCTTTTGTTATCTCTCTCCTTTTGAGTGCTATATCACTGGAATTTTAATGGCATTGTAGAACCAAATTTAGGAGAGGCTAGTTACTCACTTTCAAAAACCATTCAGAAATTCAAATTGTAAGTAACTCAAGGCTTATTCTTTTAGCAATTACATTGAATATTTATTCAGTACTGAATGTTCAGACACAACTATTGACAGTTTTTTCTGTGTGTCAGATCTTGTGCTTAGAGGATTTACATAGACCTCCTTGATTTCTTTTGTGACAGTATGTGGTATTATTTTCATTTTATAGATTGAGGAAATGAAGCCTAGTGAGAAGTAACTTTTTTCAAGGCCCTCCCGTTGATCGTCGATTTGCTCGAGCGGGCCCAGTAACGTCTCCTTTGGAGACTTTGTTGTTACTGTGTCTGGCATATCGAATATGTCACGGGGAGCTTGCCAGGCTCTGCTGTGCGGGCGAGATACTCTTGGTAGCTTGCCGGGCTCTCCGAGAGGGGCGGAGGAATAGAACTCGGGTCGGCCATGTTGGCTGCATGCAAGGCAGACGCCCTACGCGCTGTGCTATCGCTCTTGAATGTGTGTAATCTTTTATGTATTACATGATAACAAGAAAGTTTCTCTTATTTCAGCCTTCTGAAATGTTAGGGTGTTATTTGCAAACCATGGATATGCTTCTGATTATTTTCAGTTCTAAGTCCATTGTGTAATTCTCATTCTAATGAAATGTTACTATACTTAAAAAATCCAACATTGTACTATTACTTTTCTCTGATTTTTAGGCATCTCCACGAGTTACTGTGGATGATTACTTGGTAGCAAAATTAGCAGATACTTTGAATCATGAAGATCCTACCCCTGAAATTTTTGATGACATTCAAAGGAAGGTATTATGTACAACTGTATCATTATATGTTTTCAGATATTTTGTATGATTATAATTTATTTTTATAAGGCATTGAAGCATTATAAAAGTTAAATGATCGCTAATAAGATAAGTTATGGTAATATTTTTATTATAAAAAAGACCATTGTTTTTGTTGTTGTATTTTAAAAACAAGGGTAATACTTAACATTGAGTAGTTTTATTTGAATATTACTAATGAGCTTAATAGCAATCTGAAAATTTTACAGGTGGATGTATAAGTGCCAAGACTAAAATTAATTTAACCCTTTTGTTAGTTTGGGGTCCATACCCTGTAGTGCTCAGGTGTGCTTGCTCCCAGCTCTGTTCACAAGTCAGTCCTGGCAGAACAGGAGTTGCTGGGAATTGAATCCAAGCTTTCTAAATGCAAAGCTTTTGCTCCAGCCCATTGAGCTTTCCAGCCCTCAAATTTATTTATATTTGGGGGGCCACACCCGGTGAGTGATGCTCACTCAAGAATCACTCCTGGTGGGCTCAGGGGACCATATGGGGAGACATGGATTTAACCCATGTTGGCTGCTTGCAGGGCCACAGATCCTGCCCACTGTACTATCACTCCAGTCTTCCTCAATTTTATTTGTGGGGTGGGTGGGGGCGGGGAGGGTGAGGAACCACATCTGTCGATCATCAGGAGTTACTCTTGATTCTGCAATCAAGAATTACTTCTAGTAGTGCTTGGGGGACCATATGGGATGCTGAGCATTAAACCCAAAGCTTGGGTATATACAAGGTAAGTACCCTACCTACTATACTATCGCTCTGGCCTTTAATGTGTGCCTTGATATGTGAACTTACTACTTCCTAGAAAACTATATGTAGCCTATTTGTGACTTACTCTACTTAGTACTACTAGGTATTGGAGTGACCAGAAAAAAATTATAAATCTGGGGGCTGGAGTGATAGCACAGCAGGTTGGGCATTTGCCTTCCACGTGGCTGACTCGGGTTCGATTGCCAGTGTCCCATATGGTCCCCTGAGCACTGCCAGGAGTAATTCCTGAGTGCAGAGCCAGGAGTAACCCCTGAGCATCGCCAGGTGTGACCTAAAAAGCAAAAGCAAAAAAAAAAAAAATTAATTAAAAAAATATAAATCTGTCAGTCTTGTTGCAGAGGCAGATATCATGCAAATATAGTCTAAACTTATATAAGACTTCAATATAGCTTTTGACAAATTTTATTTGGTAAAAATTAAAACATTATTTGTATTAGTAATTGATACTTTATTTCAATAAGGTATATGAACTGATGCTACGTGATGAAAGATTTTACCCTTCCTTCAGACAGAATGCACTTTATGTGCGTATGTTAGCTGAGCTGGATATGTTAAAAGATCCCAGTTTCAGAGGATCAGATGATGGTGATGGAGGTAAGGTGGTTTACAGTACACATTTATATGTATAAATGTGTATTAATATATAATATGTATATTAATCTGCTTATAAGAAAAATATCCTTTACATGAGATTAAAAAGATACTTGAAACCCAAGTGTAGATTGCTTTTATATTTAAAAATCTATAAGTTTATGGCAAAGTATAGTTACTATACCTAGAAAATTAAGAACTTATTATTTAGAAATGGGAGTCTCGAGTCTTTTACGAAGATTATTTTCTTGGGTTGGGTCTTCTATATATTTTTATGGTAGTTTCTCTTTTGCTAATCAGTAATAATACTTTAACAATAGGATTTGGGGAATATTAAATGAGCTAACAGGTTTTGATTCTAGAGCCTATCATAAACTATAAAGCATCATTTAAACTCTGGTTGCATCTCTCCCCCCTCCCCATGCTCAGTTCCCTTGATTATAGTACTTTTCTAAGTCTTTTGTTTGTTTTGTTTTCCTTTTGGGTCACACCTGGTGATGCCCAGGGGTCACTCCTGGCTCTGCACTTAGGAGTTACTCCAGGTGGTGCTCCGGGGACCATATGGGATGCTGGGAATTGAACCCATGTTGGCTGCTTGCAAGGCAAACGCCCTACCCGCTGGCAATTCTATTGCTCCAGCCCCAGTATTTTCTAAATCTTACACTGCATGGGAGACTTTTAGAAGTAGAAGAAGATACAAGAGTCTTTCATCCTGATCTTCCTGAGATTTTTTTCAGAAATAAAGAGACTGTGATTCTTTATCAGAGTATTTAGATTTTACTGCTGATATCTGTTTGATATTAAGTATTTAATTCTTTAAACATCATTTTCCTCAGTTGTGAATGCAGAATTCTTTCAGTACTGTCTTACCTAAGAGGCATTGTCAAGTTAAATGATGTCTCTGAAAATAATTTATAGACTAAAACTAAAATACTAACTTTTGTTAGTGTTAAATAAGCGGTTGTGTAGGAATAGTGCTAGAGGCAACTCATATGGCACAGTTTTCTGAATTCTTAGCCAGTGACCAGTTTTCTGGGATTGAATTCAGAAGTGTTGCTAGCTCTAATTAAATTGATGTTTTGATGAACTTGCTGCTATGTTTTACTAAGAAACTAAGCAATGCAAGTAAAATGTAAGTGGAAAATACATATATGATTAACTGGAATAAGTTGAGGATGGTGATATGTTAGATGATGAATATTACTTTAAATTGCACCTTTATTATGAAGGTGTCCTAACCTCCCCTTTTCTCTCCATGTCTAATAATTCCTATATTAGCAAGCTTTTACTTCATTAGTTTTTATGTTGGTTATTGATTGACTATCTTGGGGTTTTTACATTAATACTCTCACTGGATAATTTATTTATAAATTGCAGTTACACATTATTCGTTTATTTAATTGTATAATTAAGGATTTTGTTAAAGAATACTTCAGTGGGAACTGAATAGTAGATGTAATATGCCTCATGTTCGCTGTGTAGTATTAACTCTTGAAGAACCTTTCACAAAGTGCTTATGAAATTGACGGTTAGCAACTCTACCTCTAGAGAGGATGCTTATGTTTTTATTGTTTAATTTACTAGTTAAATTTTTTCTTATTGTGAAAATTATTTGCTGTTTGATTCTGAGTGAAAGAAGAGAAATTGAATCATAATCAGCTAGTTGTAAGCTTGTAAATAATACATTATTTTAAATGACAGTGATATTTTCTATGGGATGGTTTCTGATCCCTAAGAGAGCTCTTGGAAAGTCTTCTAAATTGACTTTTAGCTGCAATTCAGTTGTTTCCTCCCAGTCTGTTTTCTTGTATACAGCTAATAGAAGCAAATTATTTAGAAGCCATCTCAAACATCCCAAATAGCATAAACTTAAGATATATTAAAAACTTTTGGGTCACACCTGGTGCAACTCAAGATACTACCCCCAGGTCAGTGCTTGTGGACCCATGTGGTGCCAGGGACTGAGCCTAGGGTCTCTGTCCAGAGCATGTGCACAAACTAGAATTTGATATGCCAAAAACAGTAATAACAAATCTCACAAAGGAGACTTTACTGGTACCCCCTCAAGCAAATCAATGAACAATGGGAGGACAGTGCTACAGTGTCCTGATGTTCACATTTTTTGGTCATAAACTTGTTTTCTGGCCTAGTTAAGCTTCTTGATAGTATATTTTTAACATTCTGGTGCTTTGGTTTTTAGACATTTTGAAACAATTCACTGATCGTGATGGCTCTTGATTTTTAAAATGCAATTTACAATTAATTGAGTCTAAAATAATGGACTAAATCATACTATGTATGATAGTATCCTCTGGTAGTTTTCTTTTCTAGCGAAGAGTGTCATTCCTATATAAACAAATGTCAGTAGGTAGTTAGCTCATGGTTTGCTTAATGCATGCTCTCTTCCCTTCCTTCCTTGCCTTCATCTCTTCTACTTCATTTATTTCAAGATTGCTTTCCTTCATTCAGAATTACATTATTTCTAAGTTTTTTAGTTTCATTTTAAAAAGAATGTGGTTTCATCTTTAAAAATATTTAAGTATTTTGTTAAAAATTTTAATTCAGTTACACTTTTCTCACATGCCAAATAATAATTTTTTTTGTTTTCTGTGTGTTTATAGGCAATTATCAAAATCACACATAAAAGTGGACCCAGATTAAATTGTATTTCTATATTTTATTGATTAAGAATGTAAATTATGTCTTGCTTTGCTCCTGAATTCTCCTTTTAACTTGACTTGTTTTTGGGTGGGAAGATATAATAGATAGGCAGACCACTAGAGAAGGGAGGAAGCATATTACTGAATAAGGAAGATAGAAAACTATTTTAAACACCTAAACTATGTTGAATGCTCATTCATTTTATTCTCACCTTAGTATATGCCAAAGAGAAACCTAGGTGGAATTTTCTATATTTTATGACCAGAGATCTGAGCAACCAAAAAATATTCTTCAACATTTAAAAGTTGAAATTGAAAAGTCCTATCAATTGCCTCCTTCTGGAAGTAGAAGTTTGCTTTGAAGATTTTATAATCCAGATTCACAAATACTTGTTGGAAATTGGAAATTTACCTTAGACTATTTGTGAATATTACTCCACACTGCATACTCATTTGTTTAATGAGGTCTCTATCTATGATAAATTTACTTGGATATGAATTAAAATTGAGGGGGGGAGTGATTGTTATTTATTTTAATAAGGTATAAGTAATAAACTTCCTAACATTAATTTTTAAAAAGTTGTCTTAGTTGATTTTTAATTAAATAACATTGCATGTGAAATTTTACACAACTTTTGTTCTGATATGTATTAATGTAAGGAGTTAACCTTGAAAGATTTTGAGCCACATCTACCAAGAATAACTAAACTTAATAGAGAAACTAGATATTAATTTATTCACACTAAAAAGTAATTTTTTAACATTTCTTAATCCATGTAGTAATAAGTAGCAAAATACCTCTGTAATTTTATAGAGGTTTTCACTCAGCTGTATTTTCTTAATGTTTACGTTGTATTAGGTGAGTGCTTAGGATGCTTTGAAAATAATAATTGTCCTCCTGTACATGAATGCCTTTTAAGGGGTAGGTTGTCCACTAATATACATAGGTATATTTGCTGAAATTCCTGGCATGAAAAAAACATAAACCTTGGGGGAATTGTATATTAGAGAATATTGAACCACAAAATTCTTTATTCTTTGTTGTGTGACTTTTATTCTTTGTGTGTGCGCCTTAGGAAAAGCTGTTGTTTTAAAAGTTTATTTTTTTAACTATATACTAAGATTAATTTCCCCTCCCACAGAATCTTTTAATGGGTCTCCTACAGGAAGCATAAATTTGGTAAGTACTGTATGGGTCCTTTAAGAAGTTAAATGACTTGATAGTCTAAACCTTAATAACAATATATAATTGTCATATTAGAAGCTCCCAAATTAACATTTAGTGTTATAAGTATAATATTTTAAAGAAATGTTAAGTAGTAAGTAAGTAAAGGCCCTCCCGTTGATCGTCGATTTGCTCGAGCGGGCCCAGTAACGTCTCCATTGGAGACTTTGTTGTTACTGTGTTTGGCATATCGAATACTCTTGGTAGCTTGCCGGGCTCTCCGAGAGGGGCGGAGGAATCGAACTCGGGTCGGCCATGTTGGCTGCGTGCAAGGCAGACGCCCTACCCGCTGTGCTATAACTTGAATATGAAATGTAATTTTTAACATATTTAAAAGTAGATTTAGGTCATGTTTGTTAAATCATTTGTAGTAGACAAAAAATTGGTATTTCCAGTGCAAATATTTAATAGTTTTAAGTGATTAGTATTATGAGAGACAGTAAACTTAGCACTTCATGCACATAAACTATATTGGTACCGGTTTTTCTACTCTTGTATTTACAAAAGAAGTATGAAATGAGTTGTGATATCTGAAAATTTCTAAATAATCTTTCTTAAGGTCTTATTAAAATTCAGACATTGTGAAAAAGTTCACATATTTATTTGCACTGCTTTGTTTTGAACCCTGACCCTTACATATTTGAGGCTCAGAAATTATACCTGGCAGTGCTCAGGGGACCAAATGGGATGCCAGGGATCAAACCCAGGTTGACTGTGTGCAAGCAAGCTCCCTAACCGCTGTACTATCTCTCTGGCTTGTAAAGTCACTTTTAAGGACAGGTGCTTTATTATTTACATAAGTCAATATTAAATTTAGACCTTTTAATATCTGGAATCCTTTAGGTTCTCTTTAATGCATAGAAAATTTTTAATAAGATAGCTACATTTATAACAACTTGATTATGGTAGTTTATTTTAATATACTAAGCAGAAAAAGCATTTAATATCTATAGTTAATATTGACGTTACAAAGATTTCTTAATTATAGCTGTGCTTGTTGACTTGTCATGGGGCTGGAGCAATAGCACAGCGGGTAGGGCGTCTGCCTTGCACGCAGCCAACATGGCCGACCCGAGTTCGATTCCTCCGCCCCTCTCGGAGAGCCCGGCAAGCTACCGATAGTATTCGATATGCCAGACACAGTAACAACAAAGTCTCCAATGGAGACGTTACTGGACCCGCTCAAGCAAATCGATGGTAAATTTATTATTTTTTTTCTCAACATGAGAGCTGGAGTGATATCACAGTGGTAGGGCGTTTGCCTTGTGTACAGCCAGCCCGGCCAAGCCAGGTTCAATTCCTCCACCCCTCTCGGAGAGCCCTGCAAGTTACCAAGAGTATCTCACCTGCACGGCAAAGCTTGGCAAGCTACCTGTGACATATTCAATATGCCAAACACAGTGAAAACAAGTCTCAAAATGGAGACGTCACTGGGCCCGCTCGAGCAAATGATCTGTTAATATGTTTAAAATAATAATAATGAGTAACTCCTACTGTCTTTACTACTGCTACTATAGGAGCAATCCTAATACATTTTTTTCTTCATTGTTTAATGGTTTCTGTGATTTAATATTATAATTGGAATATGACCCTAGTAGATAATAATCCAAATTTTCTAATTTTACATTTCCTCTCAGGTTCAGCCTTTCACATTAAAATAAAAGCGGTGCTTTTTTTTGGTCAAAATGTTTTATTATGGGGCATTTGATCACTTAACATGAGTGATTTAAATTTTGTTTCAGGGTGTTTTCACTTGTAAAGCAGGCATAGAGGATTTTAACATCATCACACCATCGGGAAAGTGAGGTGGAGTCTGAACTAGACCTGCTTTAATGATTCCTCACTTGTTCAGGGAATCCTGTGAATCATCAATAAGGAATTATCATATTTTGCTTCTCTTAACAATCATTCAGTAGACACAGTTTTGGCTTTCTTTGAATGCAGTTACGTTGAAGTTATTGAGGTGCCTTAATAATGATTGGCAACCCAGAGTTTATTCAGCTACTATAGTTTGTAAATCACAAAGTGATTTGATTACCTGATCTGAATCAGATAATATGTTGGAGTTCCCTGTAACCACTTCTATGTTCAGTCCATGATACAGAGTACTCATTGGTCTTAGCATAGTCTAGTCACATTCTGTCAGTAAAGGTAGGAAGCCAAATCAATAAAGGCAAGGGATATATTGGGGAAAACATACAGTTTTTAAAAATTGTTTCTTTTGAAAGTAAAATTGGACAGATTCAATCCTCACAGTAATGAGTGTGACAATATCTGAAATAATGTCATCAAGAAGGCATTCAGGGAACTTGAAAGGTAGTACAGGGTTAAGGCATTTGCTTTGCATGTGGCTGACCCAAATTTACTCTCCAGTATAGCTGTCCCCCTGAACACTGCCAGGAATGATCGCTGAGCTTAGAACCAGGAATAAGCCATGAGCATAGCTGGGTGTGGTTCCCAAATAGACAACAGCACCAAAAAACCCTGCAGACTCATTAAAGACTCATGGCCAGGGTTTTCATTGAAGAGATTGAGTAACTTTCCTAAATCAGTATTCCCAAGTGCCATCCAAGTGCTATCCTTGGAAGCAATCCTAAGGAGAGAAATTTTAATTCTATTATATTAATTAAATTTTCACTGTGATCTTGCCATCATTGTTTGAATGTCTTATGTCATCTTGCATGTATGCTTGGGTGTTTATATGAGGCAGAAAAGCTTTTCATTTTAAACAAAGACTATAACTCATAAAATGTTGATTCTGGTTCTGTAAGAATAACAAAAATTAATTTGTTTATGAAATTATTTTTGGAAATTATTAAAAATATAATCTTAGGCTTTGAATTTACTTTTTTTTATAAGTAATAAAAAATAGTCCTGTTGTTTTGGTATGTGTATTAAGAGGTCTTACAATGTTTTATAAATCTTAAACTTAGTTCTCATGTAACACTACAATGTAGATGCCACTATATTTATTCTTACAAAAATATTGTTTCTAAATTAGAATAATTATTGAGAATAGAGTTGATTATAGTTTATTCTAACATTTAAAAATGAAAATATAAATTAAAAAATATCAACTTGAATCTACATTTTACTTTCATTGCCATATGGTGCATGTGACTGAAAAATGTAACAAGTTGTAGTGTATGGACAGTAAAGTTGGAGCAAATAATCTGATGGATTAAATTGACTTCTGACTTTGTTGTGTTTTCCTAATCATTTATTTTTCTATTGGTCAATATAGATGACTAGTCTGGGGATGGGCGTAGAGGATGATACAAATAATATAAAACTTACAGGGAATAAAACTGAGTTGTACATATACTGAGTTCTTTAACACTTCTATATCATTAAAACTAAAATGTTTACTGATTTTTTTTTCCCCTCCTAGTCTTTAGATGACCTTTCAAATGTATCTACTGATGACTCAGTACAGCTTCATGCTTACATTTCTGATACTGGTAAGAGACTGGTAAAATTACTTTGAAACCACTATTAATATTCCTACATTGTTACTCACATTTAATTTTACAAACCTTTTCTTTCTTTGTTGTTGTTTATTCATATTTTTAGTTGCTTTTTTCCCTCCCTCATTATATCCTGTGATGTTTATTTTGTTTGTATTTGCCTAGTTCCTCAAAGATTGTCACTGTTAACTTTGGAAAAAACAATAACCATTTAGTCACTGCTAATTAACTCACCTTTTAATCTTATTCTGCGTCTAGCTGATGATTATCTAATCTTGTTAAATTGTTTTGTGGGTCATTTTAGTTCAATATTTGTTTTCACACATGCAGACCAGATAATTGGGATAAATATAGTATTGTGGTTTGGGAGTTACCAGAAGTTCAAAAATGCTTGGATGAGGGGAGAAACCTTTTAAAATTTTGTGACTCACAACAAATACACAAAATTGTTTGTAAGCTGAGAAAAAGTTAACTCATTTCTAATATCTAGTAACTGAATTATTAAATAATTTTCAATAAGTAATAGATACAGCTGATTTTTTTCCGATCTCTCTGTTCCTGAAGTATTGGAGTGTGTTTGTCAGATTACAGTTACTAAGGTGTATACCTCAATTCAATAACATATTTGCATTTTAGCTTTTTTAAATTTTTTTTCTATTGTAGGTAAATTTACAGTAGTGTTTATAATGTTGCTGTACAAAGTTACTGCACCTCTCCCCCAACACCAAAGTATTCATTTTAGATTCTTAAAGGGGATTTATAGTTAAGTATAGTTTAAAAGCTAATGATGTGTGTCTTTTGTCTTGAGATCTCTTTGTTTCTCACTGGAGCTAGAGTTTTATTTTATATTCTATTCTCTGTTAGATTTCTGGAAGAAATTATCTGAGCTTGTTGTCTCCATTGTTTCTTTGTCTTTTAAAGCAGTTGCTAAATACCTTACTCTGCTCTTCGAGGCCAGTAAATGATAGTCTTGCTCATAAAACAGAAGGTCTTTCTTGGTTTTTGTCTTTTTTCTTTTTTTAAAAAAATTCTTGGTTTTTTTCAAAATTCTGTTTTTTGTTGGCTTCTTTCCAAAATATGAACACCTTTGTTAAAGTAAAAATTTTGGTTGGTTTGGTTTGGTGTGGGGGCCACACTTATTGGTGCTCAGCACTTGATCCCTTAGCAGAGTCAGGAGTATTATTGGCAGTGCTGTGTGACCATATATGGAGTTGGAGAGAAAACCCAGGTTGGACCCTTGAAAGCAGGAGCCACACTGAGTAATCTCTCTAGCAGCTAAAGTGCAGTTTTTTTTTTTTTTTTTTTTTAATAATTTATTTATTTATTGAATCACTGTGGGAAAAGTTACAGAGCTTTCGGGTTTAGGTCTCAATCATGTAGATACCGAACACATTTCCCTTTACCAATACTCATTTTTAACCCCGAACCCCAATAGACCCCCACCTCCCACCCCTCCCAATTCTTGTGAGGTAGATGAGTTCTAGTTAATACTCTATCTACTTTGACTAGATAGATTATTTCGATAGAAGATGCACAATTATTGTTAAGAGTTTACGACCCACCCCCCCCCCCCCCAATCAGACATGCTGAAACAGCGTTGTGAAATGATTTGCTTTCTACAACTTGGTTTAAGAATAAAATGATGTCGCGCGGCCGCGATAGCGGCCGCGCGGTTTTGAATTTCTGCTATTTTACTTATTGACCCTGGAAGAATTTCTATTAAAAGTTAGCTAGTTAAGAGATTGGTTTCTGTGTCCTGGAGTCGTGGCCGTGCCGGAGAGCCGCTCGTGGGGGGCAGCTGGCGACCCCGATGGGGCGTGGGGGACGGCCCACAAAGCCCCCCTTCCCATGAGGTCCCCGCTGCTCCCCCCCCCCCCCCGAGCCCGGCTCAAACCCGCTTTCCACAAGGCTCCCGTGCGGCCGCCATCTTTCTTTCCAGAGAGGAGCGGGCGGGCTGGTCAACGCCCTTCCCCCTCCGGGCAGGCTTGGTGGCGCGGATCAACACAAGTCCATTTGCTTTTCTGCTCCAAGCGGCTGGTTCTCTGTGCTAAGTCCTTGTGCCTCCGGGGCCGTGGCCGTGCCGGAGAGCCGCTCGTGGGGGGCAGCTGGCGACCCCGGTGGGGCGTGGGGGACGGCCCACAAAGCCCCCCTTCCCATGAGGTCCCCGCTGCTCCCCCCCCCCGAGCCCGGCTCAAACCCGCTTTCCACAAGGCTCCCGTGCGGCCGCCATCTTTCTTTCCAGAGAGGAGCGGGCGGGCTGGTCAACGCCCTTCCCCCTCCGGGCAGGCTTGGTGGCGCGGATCAACACAAGTCCATTTGCTTTTCTGCTCCAAGCGGCTGGTTCTCTGTGCTAAGTCCTTGTGCCTCCGGGGCCGTGGCCGTGCCGGAGAGCCGCTCGTGGGGGGCAGCTGGCGACCCCGGTGGGGCGTGGGGGACGGCCCACAAAGCCCCCCTTCCCATGAGGTCCCCGCTGCTCCCCCCCCGAGCCCGGCTCAAACCCGCTTTCCACAAGGCTCCCGTGCGGCCGCCATCTTTCTTTCCAGAGAGGAGCGGGCGGGCTGGTCAACGCCCTTCCCCCTCCGGGCAGGCTTGGTGGCGCGGATCAACACAAGTCCATTTGCTTTTCTGCTCCAAGCGGCTGGTTCTCTGTGCTAAGTCCTTGTGCCTCCGGGGCCGTGGCCGTGCCGGAGAGCCGCTCGTGGGGGGCAGCTGGCGACCCCGGTGGGGCGTGGGGGACGGCCCACAAAGCCCCCCTTCCCATGAGGTCCCCGCTGCTCCCCCCCCGAGCCCGGCTCAAACCCGCTTTCCACAAGGCTCCCGTGCAGTTTTTAAATCTTTGTCCTTTTATTTTTCTCTTAACAACCTTATTTCTAAAGAAAGATTTGTCTGTATTGTTAATGAGGATTGAACACTTCTCTAAGTTCTTGGGTTTCCTAGCTTCTTTGTTTTAACTACTCAAATATTTATTAATCTTCTTATTTTAAATATCTATATTGTTATATACAGAAAATCTATTATAGATACTAAGGAGACATTACAGTGTGGTTAAGGACACAACAGTAGTTAAGAACATGGTGATTAAGAACACAGTTGTCTTAACACACGATGTTTCCTAGTATCTACATGATATGTTGGGTTAGAACCCCTAGCTCTACTGCTTTATAGTTGATAAACTTGGTTGAGATCTTTAACATCTTTGTATCTTGATTTCCTCATCTCTAAAATGGCAAAACAATAATAATGATACTTGCTTCAGCTTTATTATAGGATTAAATTTACTAGTAATTATGTGGTAGCATTATATAATAGTGTTTGTTCAATAAATATTTTAGTAGGACATCAGTCTCTGACTCTTATGTCCTTTAGTACCTTCATTATTAGAAGTAGAACTTAGAGTCATTTAGTGCTACCCATGGAATTTTCCATACTCCTTTGAGAAATATTGCTTAAAACTATTGGCCAGTGATCAGGAGATAATACAGTAAGTAAGGCACTTGTCTTACCTGTGGCCATCCCAAGTTTAATCCTCAGCACCCCATATGGTCCTGTTAGCCACCACCAGGAGTGATCCTTGAGTGCAGAGCCAGCCTAAGTATGGCCGGATGTGGTTCCTCCAAACAAAGCACTGTAGCACTGTCCTCCCATTGTTCATTGATTTGTTCGAGTGGGCACCAGTAATGTCTCCATTATGAGACTTGTTGTTACTGTTTTTTGGCATATCGAATATGCCACAGGGAGCTTGCCAGGCTCTGCTGTGCGGGCAGGATACTCTTGGTAGCTTGCAAGGCTCTCGGAGAGGGACAGAGGAATCGATCCCAGGTCAGCCGCATGCAAGTCAAACACCCTACCCGCTTGTCCTGGAACTGGAGAGATAGTATAGATGCTGAGCCACTGTGTCTTGCATGTGGCCGACCCTGACTCAGACCAGTCCTTAGCACCTCATATGATTTCACTAGGGAAAGTGACCCCTGAGCACTGCCAGATATGGCCCAATATCCCTCCCTAATTGACTGAATTAAACATTATTCTTAATGACAAGATTGATTCTTTTTCTAGATCTTTGTCTAACTATGGATTAGTAACAAGTATTTCTTGTCATTTATTATCAGTAAGTCTGCTAATGAAAACACAAAACCAATTTTGACTATAGCTCAGTATCATTTCACTATCAGTATGTTTTATGTATATAAAACCTTGCTCTCTCTCTCTCTCTCTCTCTCTCTCTCTCTTTCCTTGCTTTTTGAGTCATACCCGGCGATGCACAGGGGTTACTCCTGGCTCATGCACTCAGGAATTACTCCTGATGGTGCTCGGGGGACCATATGGGATGCTGCAAATCAAATCTGGGTTGACTGAGTGAAAGGCACACGCCCTACATGCTGTGCTATGGCTCCAGCCCCGCTATCTCTTTTTAAAGTCAAATAACTTATCTGTTACATTTCTTTTAAAATTCTTATTGTACATATTCTTTCCTGTCTATTTGTGACAAATTGTGGTCATTTTTTTAAATGCTTTATTATATTCCTGTCTTCTTTTTTGCACCTTGCTGTTCTCTTTGCTTGTTACTTCTAATAGCTTATGGTTGCTGGCCTCTCTTTTGTTTGTTGCCATGATATAACTTTATTCAATAATGGCAGTTATCTAATGTAAATAAAAGGTATTGCATAATATGCTTACATTGATTTCTGGTAGAAAATTGATTACAATTGATTGCAAGTAGGGAAGAATAATCTTAACTACAGTTAAGACTTCTCAGAGCTATCCTTAGTCTTCTACTCTGTCAAATCAGGGACATTTATGAAGAAAGAGGATGAAGAAAAATTTTGTGTAGAAAGTACGAACCATAGGAAAATTTGAGAAAAGCGTGAGAGAAGATTCTTTGTAACTTTTACAACATAGATTTCTAACTTTTATGAGCTCAAAATAATTTGCTAAGAAGCTACGTAGATCTTTTTGTCTTATGTGCAAAATATTAAATATTTAATAAGCTCATATCTGAGCTACTTTCACACCCATGGATTCATGTAATCTTATTAGAAAAGCAGTTTATATTTATGGTTAGTATGGTAGCTTAATCTGCTTTGGAAAAGTCTGCTTTCCACATATAGAACAGATAAAAACAGTTTAAAAAATATGTGTATAAAAATGCCTCTATAAGCCATGAAATAAAACGAATTTTAGGATGTGGATAGATGAAGCCAGGGAATTCATAGGAGCATGATGACTGCTATCTTGATTTTGATTGCATTTTTATGAACTCTTCATTTAGAGGAGTCAGGATCATCATAGGAAGCTGGAACATAGTATTTTGTATAAAACCCAGCCTCACAGATGATGGCTTGTGATGATGTAAGAGTTAGAAAAAGTTAGCCCTTATCAGGGGAGAGGATTGTGAAGATTATAGTTAGAAATAGTGTCTGTCACCCACAGAAATTGAAAGCTTATCTTGCATCTTATAATGGTTGTATATAGATTCAACTGTCCTCAAGTGATTGTATATCACAGAGTCTAGCCTGAGAGTAAGTATTTGAAAAATATTTATAGAAGACCTGAGGTAAGAATACAATTGTCTGAAAAGGAATCAAATATAGTTACATATAATAATAGAAATATTTAAGGTTGTGGATAAATTTTAAAATAAAACAAAGGGGCCTGGAGGATGCTTAGCATAGATAGAAGCCCACAATCCAGTGACTGTGTGACTATTAAGTTAAATCCCAGGCACTGTCCCGCTTGCTAAGTGCCATCCGTGAGACACTGCCATTTGCTGCCCCTAGCATCACAGCAAAGTGTGATCTCCATCACACAGCAACCAATTCGTGCAGGCACTGAAAAGGAATTGTTTGACTCCTGACTACCACCACAACCAAATGTATAACATCCTGTCATCACCAGAGCAGCCAGAGGGTAAGCGAAATGAATAGGTGAATAGAGTATATTTTAAAAGAGAGAAATAAATAGATCATAAATAGGTTACTGAAAACTTAGAGATACTGAAAATTTAGAGATACCTGAAAAAATAGAACAAAATGTTGCAAAACTTAATTGACAGTACAACTCTCTAAGATTAGTTTGAAATTGAAACTTATTTAGAATGGAATGATTGTACAATGGGAAGAGCTCTTGCCTTGGATGCATCTGACCTTGGTTCAGTCCTCAGAATCCCTGAGCATGAAGCCAGGTATAAGCCCTGAGCGACTTACTCCTGGCTTTGTGCTCAGGAATCACTTCTGGCAATGCTCTGGAGATGATATATGGGACCAGGGATTGAAGCTGGGTTGGCTGCATACAAAGGCAGTTGACCTACACTCTGTACCATCTCTCTAGCCCCCTCGGAAAAAGCAGGTTTATAAATCCCCCAAATTAGCTACACTTACAAATTACTAAATATTATAAATGAGAAAAAGAATTGTCAAAAAAGCAAATAAAGCTTATCCTTATAACTTTTGTTCTCTGTTTAATTAAAGAAATTTTAATTGAAAACAAATAGTGAAGGCTTGTACAAAAGGCTTTTATTTTTTGTTGTCTTACTTTGATCAATTTTTAGAGAACTCTACTACTATATTCTGAGGTGGTATTATGGTATCATAACTAACTACCTAAAAGTGCTTTGGGAAGAGAGTTCAAAATATGCATCACTGTGTGGTTGATAAAGTCATCATAAGCCTGTAGTTTATTTTCTAATGTGGCCATCATGTACCACTTCATGGATGTGAGTACAGAGGGTAGGAATCTGTTTTATCCTTTGGTGACATCCTTTTGTCTCAGTCTGTCATTTCAAATTCTTCATTTTCATGTTGTCTTTTTTGTTTCTATTTTTGTTCTTCATCTTCCTCCTTTTGTGTCTTTTGTTCCTTTTCATTTTGTTTTAAATGACTAGTATATGCTGATTATGACCCATATGCTGTGGCAGGCGTTTGTAATGATCATGGCAAGACATACGCGTTGTATGCCATCACTGTTCATCGACGCAATCTCAACAATGAAGAGATGTGGAAAACCTATCGTCGTTATAGTGACTTCCATGACTTCCACATGCGAATCACTGAACGGGTAATGAGATTTTCAAAGCTTGTGTACTTTGCATTGTATCCTGATTTTATGTTTGATTCTAAATAGTTCTGAGGATGCTCAGGTATTGATTAAAACTAACAAAAATTAAGAATTTCAATGTACTAAGCATGAATATTAGAATGCTTTTAAGTATTTAACGAATAAAGTCATACTAAACATTGTGAACTAGTGCCAAAATGTAAATGGTATATCTTTGAAAATAAAAATGTATATATTTTTTTGTCTTTTAAGACTCATGCATGTGTGTACATGTGCATGCATTGTGCTTTGCACAAAAGGTATTTGGATTTGACTTAAATTTATGAGGATCACTGTAGTACATTGTGAAGTTTTTGTTTGGCAACATAAGAGCTATAATTATTTTTAAATGGTATTCTTATTTCTAATATAACAAATTCTTGATCTGTTCATCATAATCTAAATTAAAAACCAAATGCTTTATAATTCTTACTAAGTGCAATCTGCCTTTTTTGTAAAACTATAAGGAGGACCAGAGCGATAGCTAGGACATTTGCCTTGCTCGTGGACAACTTAGCTTTGATCCCTGGCATCCCGTATGGTCACTTGACCACTGCCAAATATGATACCTAAATTCGGAGCCAGGAGTAACCCCTGAGCACTGATGGGTATGTCTGCCCTCTCCCCCCCCAAAAAGTATAAGGATTCTTAAAAATAAAGTATGTACTGATTTATTTTCATACTAGTTTTTTTTCTCCTTAAGTTACAAAGGAGAATATATAAACAACCATTAGATGAATAGATAATCCATGAAATTTATTTTACCACTGGAGTATCTTTGACTTGTTCAGGACTTTAGATGTATAAAGAGTATCGAGCCAATAAAGAATAATTAATGTTGGGGTTGGGGAGATAGTACTGTGGGTAGGGTGCTTGCCTTGCATGCGATTGACCTGAGTTTGATACCTACCATCCCATAAGGTCCCCCAGCCCACCAGGAGTGATTTCTCAGTGCAGAGCTAGGAGTAAGCCCTGAGCACCTCCAGAAATGGGCTCCCTCTCTGTGCAAAATAAAAAAAATAAAAGATTGTGACATTTGATTGGGTGAAGTAAAGTAAAGCATCTAAATGACATAGTCCTTGTCTTTAGTAATCAGAAAATAACTTTTTCAATAACACGGACAGCATGATAATGTCACTAAAATATTTTGTGAATGGAATAAATATGAATTAGTTTGGTGATTATATACAGATCATTGTTGACTGTAGACACCATTTTATTAAGGGAACTATTTCGATTTATTTTCACAAGAAAATTAATAGTTTGGATGTTTCTGTAATTTTATTCCTACTGAGTAGATCTTTATGTTTACCTTTGTTGTGACATGGAATAATTATCTTCTTGTGTTGTAGAATTCATTTACTTTTTAAAAAATTACCTGTTTGAAATGGTTTTCAAAGTACAGTTTATATAGCTTTCTTTCCAGCCCCACACTTTTACCAGGTGTGACAAATTTTAAGATAATTTGAATTGCTAAAAGTCGTTTTATTTATTTGCAAGTCAATAGATTTTTTTTTTTTTTTTGCTTTTTGGGTCACACCTGGAGATGCACAGGAGTTACTACTGGTTCATGCACTCAGGAATTACTCTTGGCGGTGCTCAGGGGACCATATGGGATGCTGGGAATTGAACCTAGGTCGACTGCGTGCAAGGCAAACGCCCTACCTGCTGTACTATTGCTCCAGCCCCAGAAATTTTTTTAATGAGATTTTCATTGTGTATATATTTCTACCTCTCTGCTTAAAGTACTCATTGTTTAACTTAATATTCTAGACAAGAATCTAAATATTTGTTTGCATATAGCAAATAATATAAGTGAAGGACATACTATTTAAAATAACTTTATTAATAATACTTCAGGAATTTCACTTTTTAATATAGCTCAAAATTATCAGTAAAATTCATAAAGCACAATTCATTTTTTGGAAGATCTTAGTACAAGTATAAATGATGTGGGGGTTTTTTCTCCTGTTTTTATTTTTAACTTTTTAATTTATTTTTATTGAATGATGTGTGTTGACTTCATGTTTTCTGTAAAATCACAGTAGTATGATTATTCATTAGTTTATTCACAAAGATGAGTGATGAAGGATAGAATTGGACTTTTCATAAGGAATTTAATGTAGTATATACATTTGTTTGTTTTTTTTAATGATACACATCTGGCATGTTACTAAAATAAGAGAAGAAAAAGCTAACTTGTAAATGAAATTTAAAGTTTTAAGGCTGGATATTTGCTTTTTATCTCTCTGCTTTATCTATACTTTAAAAATATAAGCCCTCTGTAAAATAGCAGAAGGAAAAACAGTGATTTCTAATTCAGCAATACAAGCTGTTTACACAGTTTGTTGTTGCTATTCTTGTTTTTACTTTGGGGCCACACCTGCTGGGACTACTCCTGGCTCTATGCTTAGTGGTCGCTTCCAGCAGTTTTTGGGGTCTCATGCAGTGCCAGAGATTGAACTGGGGTTGGCCTTATGCAAATGCCTTAATCACTGTGCTATCCCTCCAGCCTTACACAAATAATTTTAATTTTCCTAAGGTTCTTAAGGACATTAAAAGTATTTTAAAAACAGGATTTGTTGTATTTAACTTTGTAGCTTAATTTTTCTAAGTATGTTAACTGTCATAAATTTTAATAGTCTAATTTGATATAAAAAAGATTTACAAAATTAAAAGAAAATAGCTAAATTACGGACTGGAGCGATAGCTCAGCGGGTAGGGCATTTGCCTTGCACACGTCCAACCCAGCCGATTGGGGTTGAATTTCTCCTCCCCTCTTGGAGAGTCCAGCAAGCTACCAATAGTATCTTGCCCTCCCGGCAAAGCCTGGCAAGCTCCCCATGATGTATTCAATATGCCAAACACAGTAACAAGTCTCACAATGGAGTCGTTACTGGGCCTGCTCAAGCAAATCAGTGAACAACGGGAGGACAGTGGACAGTGGACAGCTAAATTACTATATATCAGAAATATTTGAACTTTGCTCACTTATTATTTTATGAATACTTACTGAGATTTTTCTATCTGCCTGACACTGGTAATATAACAGAGAATAGGTCAGATAAGCTAGCTCCTAAGAGCTTACATTCTGTTAATACTAAATATTTGTTTAATTGGGTGGGAGATATATAAGTATATATTACAAAAGGTAGTAATTAACAAATATATTAGGTTTTTTTAACATAACTGAGTGAAAGTAATTATGCACTTTAATATAAACAAATATAAAATTCTTCTTATTTAAAATGCAGGTGTGGCCCATAAATTTTCCAGTAGTGCATTAGGATTCTAAACCTAACATATTCAGTATGGAAAAGCAAAATCTCTGATTGAAATGTCTGTGACTTGTATAGTACTTTTGTTCTTCGTGAACAAGAAAATGTTCTTTTTATAATATAGAATTTTTACGTAAATTTTAATTTCTATGCCTCAAAAATGTATTCACTAAATATCTGACAAAAAGGAATTAAATCTTTTTAAAGAATGGACTGCCTTCTTCTGGGAAACATCAAGATTTTAATGTATTAATATAGATCATAAAATTTCCCCATTTGTCCTTATATTAATGATAATTGTGAAAACTTTATAGTCATATAAAGTCACATAATTCCTGTTCCAGGGAATTTGATCATTTTGATTTTAAGAAATTAAATATTAGTGAAGCATTTTTATATTAATAAAGTTTAATTATTTTAAAGTTGCTGAAATTATTTTACTACAGACATAATACATCTCTTTTATGTATTCATTTGCTAGGGCTGTCAGAACAAAATACCGCAGGCTAAGTGGCTTAAACAGCTGGCATTTATTTTCTTACTTTTCTGGAAGCTAGAAGTCCACGATCAAGGTTTTTTGCAAGTTTGGTTTCTTTGGAGACACCTCTTCATGATTGTCAGATGGCCACCATTCTTGCTTTGATCTTACATGTCCTTCCTTTTGCAAATACATTACATGTGTCTTTAGTTGTCTAAATCTCCTCTTAGAAGCACACCAAGTAGTTTAGATTAAATGTGTTTTAAGGACTGTATTTTAATTAAGTAAGGCTCTAAATGCCAAATTTCCAAGTACAGTCCTTCATTCTAAAGTTCTGAATATTCTGTTTGAACATACAAATTTTGGGTGAATGCTGTTCAACCTATACTACGTAGGACTTTCCAAATAAACTATGCATTCTATGAAATCATCTTTTAAAATAATGTAGACAAATAATAGTCCAGTAAATTAAAATCATAGACTATCTTGAAATATGTGATTTATTTAACTTAGATGATTTTTTCCTCTAAAGTTAGACTTAAACCAGTACTATTCACTGAACAAATTTGATACAATTATAAAAATTTTGAACAATCTCATAGTGATTATTAAAATGGAACGCCATGTGGATATAGTCTATATCACTATTCCATGTTTGCTATTTTCATTGAAAATGTTTTAATAATGTGTAGCTTAAGTACTATGATTTGAATATTTTGTACAGTTCTTCTGTGTTTCTAATTTTTAACATGGAGAAATCAAAATGTTTTTGATATTAGAAAAATTGTCACTTGGATAACACTTTCTCTTTTTGTAAAAAAAAAATAAGAATTGTGAATGTATTCTGTCTTCTAGTTTGAAAATCTGTCGAGCATATTGAAACTTCCTGGTAAGAAGACTTTTAACAATATGGATAGAGATTTTTTAGAAAAGAGAAAGAAAGACCTAAATGCATATTTGCAGGTAAGCCTTACTACTACTTAAAAACTTTTATTTTGATATATTTTAAAAATGAACCTTGTAATAATGGGATGATAGCCACTTTTACTAGCTTGTCTGAAGTAAAGGCAATTTTGTCAGTAACAAATAAAATTTAAATATTTAAAAGTGAATCTTGTCATATTGGGATGGTAGCCACTTTTATTTAAGTCGCCTATCAGATGTGGATGCAATTTTTTTCAGTAATAAATAATATTTCTCTTTATTATAGTCAAAATTTTCTGGAGATGGCTTACTAGGGATTTAGCTTCTTTGGGTATATGTAAGTACACATTTACACCCATACTCATACCCAGATCCATTGCACATTGTTGTAAAGTCTTAAGTTTTTGCTGTTGTTGTTTTTTTTCTTTTTGGGTCACACCCAGCAATGCTCAGAGGTTACTCCTGGCTCTGCACTCAGGAAATACTCCTGGTGGTGCTTGGGGGACCATTTGGGATGCCAGGGATTGAACCTGGGTTGGCCTGCATGCAAGGCCCTACCTGGGGGGAATGCAATGTTTTAAAGCAGAATGTCCTGGGGGTACAGTTGTTGCTCAGCAGGTCAATCTGTACCTGCAGGGTGAGTGCATCAGCAGTCTGATGGTGCCTTCAGGCTTCCTAATATCCCAAAATTGCCACTGTATCTCTGGCCGGACCCCAACAACTTGGGACCAAGTTTCCTGAGAAATTAAACAGCCAACAGTTATGTATGTGTTAGTCACATCCATTAACCACCTCTGACTCATCTATACAAGATCATTTATCGGCTTTGCTTCAGTGACCCGTAAATAAATCTTGAAAGTGATCAAAAGCAGGCCATTCAAGCTTATTAATGGCCATAATTCAGAGATTCACAAATGAATCTTTGAGGAGAGCAGCATGCCACAGACATGACTTCCCTCCCCATACCGAGCTAATTTAACTGGGGCACCTTGGAGGGAGGCAGGTATATCCCTCCGACTGCCCCAAATGAACTCCAGCAGCCCCAAACCTTTAGAACCCAACCACAGCCATGCTCATAGCCTACCTTCACAGGCGTGTTCTGAGCCCCCCCCCCCGCCCCCCCATGCATGGGACCAGTGACTGAAAACTCCAGGTTTCACAGAATCAGGGATCTATGACCTCCACCCATCTCCCCACCCTTCCAGTTTCCTGGCAGTCACATCCAGGAAACTGCCTCTGGGTGCCATTTAAGCGCATTAATGGCCATAATTCAGAAACTCACAAATGAATCTCAGAAGAGAGCAGCACGCCACCTGAAATATTTTAAAATTTTAGAATTCCAGAGTGTGCGGTCACTTTCTCTGTGGCATGACAACGCATACTATTCATAGCAAGCAATACAAAATAAATTATTTAGCATCTGCCTAAAGGGCAGGCTGGAGTGGTGGTGGAAAGATTCAAAGGTAGTGGTTGGAAGAAGGTGCAATAATGGTGGGATTGGTGTTGAAATATTGAATGTAAACAATTACTATGGACAACTTTATGAAAAATTAAAAAGTTAAATAAAAATAAAGAAAAGAAAGGGTGCCCAGATCAAACTTGACCCCAGCATATAGGAAGGAGAAGGAAAGAGTGTTGGGGAGGGGAAGAAGAGCCAGATGAGTAGCAGTAGGGCTGGATCAGGAGAGCCCTGGACAAAGGTCATGTTAAAGAATGATAGTACCAAATTTTCAAACCCAAAAGTCAACAATGAAATCAGTAGACCCAAATTTAATTTAAACAACTGAGCTTAGAAAGTTGGCACTGATGGTGGGGTTGGTGCTGCAGTATTGTATGTCTAAAACTCAGAGGCAGGTAAGTTTATAAATCTTGGTGCTTTAATTTTTAAAAAATGTGTTAGTTAAATTTTAAAAAGGATGATTGTGTAACTAGCATAATGATTTATTAATGTAATCTTCTGAGATTAAGCTCTAGAACTTGATATAGTAAGTATTTAGACACCGTTCTTGTTAGCTGTATTAGAAATCTAAGTAACAGAGGCAAATTGTTAAATGGTTGTAGAGTTATTGATGACTGTCTTAACTGTATATTGGTTTTTAGTATAAAATTGGAATTTTTCCTATGCATTTGTAACTTTCTATAGGATAAAATTATAAACAGTTATTTTTGAGTATTTGATAATTGTAAGATACCACTTTTTTCTCTTACCAGTTACTCTTAACTCCTGAAATGATGAAAGCATCCCCAGCTTTGGCTCATTATGTGTTTGATTTCCTCGAGAACAAAGCCTACAGTAAAGGGAAAGGAGATTTTGCTCGAAAGGTAAGAAAGAAGACCAGCACATTGGAGTTTTTGTTTGATTTTGTTTGTTTTTATCATGTTAAACAAAAGAAATTTTAACAAAAAAAATTCTATTTAAAACTAGAAAATTTTATTGATGCCTCTTGCTATGGTTTCTGATTATGGTTTATTAAATCTTCCCTTGATAGTAACATTCATTAAGTATCAACTCCTGTCTTTATATGTAGATCATAACCTAGCAGAAAATTAAAAGATAAAAAAATAATTTATCAGTTGATGCAATATTAAAGTTTGCATCAGGTGATAAGCTTTTTATTAGCTCTGAAGTGTTTCTTACTGGGAGGAAATGACAAACATGAACTAAAGATAAAATTTTTTTAATAGAATATTTTTTTAAATATTTACATCTTGAGTAAAATAATATTCGAAATTCATTTGGGGATACATGGGCCTGTATTTAGAAGAAGATGCCATTTTAAGCAGTAAATGATTAAATATTGCTCAAATAGGCAAGAGAGTTTAATATATAAGACACACACTTTGGAATTAATCTTTGATTTCAAATCTCTGCTATGCCACTTGCTAGTTATAACATGGAGCATGTTAGTTAATTTCTTGGTCCTTTAATTTTCACAAGAAATGATGGTGTTAATCTTTATCTTAAAGCATCATGTAAATTAAATGATCCAGGTACCTAATACAAAATTATCATCATCATCATCACGACCACCCTGTTGTTCATCGATTGCCTCGAGCAGGTGCCAGTAACGTCTTCTTCGTCCTAGCCCTGAGATTTTTTAAAAGTGCCATATTCAAGGCTTTTTCAGGGTTAGGAGAATGAGACCCATCATTGTTATTGGTATTTGGCATATTGGGTATACCACGGGGAGTTTGCCAGACTCTGCCGTGTGGGCAGGTTACATTTGGTAGCCTGCCAGTTTGTCCAAAGTAGGAGTGAGATGATAAGATGTCATTTTATCATGTTAAACAAAAGAAATTTTAACAAATTTAACATTTAATAAAATAAAATAAAAATTTAACATTCGCGGCCACGCGCTTCCGGGAGCTGAGTGTGATAATCTCTGGATCCTGGCCGTTGTTGGAGTTACACGGCAGTTGGTGGGTGTAACTGTCTAGTTACTGGCAGGTCCAGTCCCAAACCGTGCAGGCTTGGAGATCTCAGCCCCGGGTCCCACACACCTGGGTTGCTCTGCCAGTTCTTTTATGCGTGAGGCTCATCCAAGTGTGTGGAGAGTGGTCCCAGCATGGCCTTGGCTGGGCCCCGGAGGTCTTCAGCTGTTGGGCCCTGGTGGAGACAGTCAGGCACAGGGTAGGAGACTCTGCCTTGTTCTCTCCTGGGAGCTGAGTGTGATAATCTCTGGATCCCGGCCGTTGTTGGAGTTATACGGCAGTTGGTGGGTGTAACTGTCTAGTTACTGGCAGGTCCAGTCCCAAACCGTGCAGGCTTGGAGATCTCAGCCCCAGGTCCCACACAAAATTACAAAATTAACCCCTGAATAAATGTTTGCTCTTAATAGTACCAACAAGTATAGTACCAGGGACAGCAGTTGAAGAAGACAGCTAAAGGGTTTCTAGAGACTGTTATTTATGCAACCTGTTTTGTAACTACAGATTATTTCAGAATAAACATTAAGAATGTAGACTTACATGTCTCCCTCTCCCACACAAAACACAAAACAAACACTGTCCTCCCATTGTTCATCAATTTCCTCGAGTGGGCCCAGTAATTTCTCCCTTTTTTTTGAGACTTGTTACTGTATTTGGCATATTGAATACGTCACAGGTAGCTTGCCAGGCTCTGCCATGTGGGTGAGATATTCTCGGTAACTTGCCGGGCTCTCTGAGAGGGGCGGAGGAATTGAACCCGGCAGGCCAGGCTGGCTGCGCGCAAAGCAAACACCCTACTGCTGTGCTATTCTCCAGCCCAAATCGCTCCAGTGCCTCTCCCTCACAAATATAATATTTTAAAACTTAAAGAGTTAGTGCAAAACAAATAATTACCTGTATAAGCATAATAATTATATGTGCATAATCTGTGATGGTTGTTAACATTTAAGATAAAGTGTTTTGTCTGCATGATAGGTTTTAGGTTTTTACCCTATCAAAACAAAAAACAAACACTGTCCTCCCTTTCATCGATTTGGTCGAGCGGGCCCAGTATCGTCTCCATTGTGAGACTTCTTGTTACTGTGTTTGGCATATTGAATACTCTCGGTAGCTTGCCAGGCTCTTCGAGAGGGGCGGAAGAATCGAACCCGGCTCAGCCGGGCTGGCTGTGTGCAAGGCAAACGCCCTACCGCTGTGCTATCACTCCACCCTATCATGGTAAAAAATATGGTAGTCTTTATTTTTTTATTACATAATTTAAGAGATGGAGTTTAAATTCCTATGCTAGTTGGTTTTACTGTCGATAGAAATGTTTTTTAGTATTCCATTTTTAAATAGTTGACCAATTTTCTTAAGATTACATCAATTTTAAGATAAACTGGTTTTTGAGATTAAATAAGCAATATTAATTTACATAATTTTTTTTCATATGTCATGAGTACTCTCGGTAGCTTGCTGGGCTTTCCGAGAGGGGCAGAGGAATCGAACCCGGCTTGGCTGGGCTGGCTGCGTTCAAGGCATTGGAGCGATAGCACAGTGGTAGGGTGTTTGCTTTGCACGCAGCCAACATGGCCAACCCAAGTTTGATTCCTCTGCCCCTCTCGAGAGCCCGGCAACCTACCGAGAGCATCTCGCTCCCACTGCAAAGCCTGGCAAGCTACCCATGATGTATTTGAAATGCCAAAGATAGTAACAACGAGTCTCAAAAAATGTAGATGTTACTGGGCCCACTCCAGCAAATCGATGAACAACAGGAGGACAGTGTTTTTCCATATAGCAGCATATTCAGAGGTTTCCAAACTTACTTGGCCTACCACCTCTTTTCAGAAAAATGCTCAGCCATCTCCTAGATATCTATCTTTGAACAAAGGGAAAGCATTCCCTGCCTCCAGAGGTTGTACAAGAAGCTACTATAACCCCCTAATCATTCCAGTGCTTCTGGGAGGTGGTATCACTCACTTTGGAAAAGATACATATCTATTGAAATACATGTTTTGTATTTCCTTCCAGTTATATATCATCATGTGAAAATGTATTATGCCATATCAGTCAACTTTCTATTTTATTACTAATAAAAGTAACTCAATTGAAGTGTTAGTTGAACAAATAGTCTCTTTGTAAGTCAGGCTAAGTGTACATTTGTACCAGCAGTCCATAATTTACTCCTCCTTGTGGTAATTTGGAGATTGCTGTTTTTTTGTGTTTTGACCATTTCTTTGAAGACAAGTCCTAGTTTTGGAAATGTTCTCATATAGTGATGAACTCCACATTCATGCTTCTGAACTATTACATCCGTCACAGTTAAGCATCAGATTCACTTCTGAGGGATTTTCTTATGACTGTTTTGTACAATTTTTTTTTATACGTTCGTTTTCCTTTTTTTGGTTCCTATCAAAACTCTCAGCGTTCCATATGCTTCTTCATTGGTTTCTATATATGCCTTTTCCATTTTTTAAAAAATTGAAATTGTCTGATTATAGTCTACATGTCAATTTTAATGTTTTATATCCCTTTGGAAATTTTGATCCTTCCTTGTTTTGTTTTGCTCTGCTTTTTTTGTGCCACACTTGATAGTGCTCATGGCTTACTCCTCAGGAAATTATTCCTGATGATTTCCTGCATATGGGACCATGTGTGGTTCTGGAGACCGCCCAGGACAACCACATGTATGGCAAGCACTTTACCTGCTATAATCTCTCTGGTTTAATTCTGACATTTTTGGTTGTTGTTTTCTTTGGGTCACACCTGGTGGTGCTTGGGTTTACTCCTGGCTCTGCACTTAGCGATCACTCCTGGCACGACTTCGGTCGGGACCATATGAGGTACTGGCTTTCAATCTAGGTTGGCCGCCTGCAAGGCAAGTGCCTACTCACCGTACTATCAATCCTACCCCTCTAGTCCAATTCTAATCCATTTTTATATCGTGAATCATATTTTCTATTACATAGTCGTATTACAGTTTTTTCCTTCCGCTTTACTGAAAGGTGTTTTATGTCTCTGATTTTAAACCGTACTTTTTCATTTTTATAATAGATTCCAAATTCCCTCTCTTCAGGAATTGAGATTTTCATTGTATATGCATTGGATACTAAAATTACACTCAGAAATCTTAGTGTCTGCTATTTGAGTTTTCTGTTTATTTTATATGCTTGTTTACTTTTGCCTGTCACCTCAAAATTTCTGTGTCATGATTATCTTGAATTTGAATCTGGCAGATGTTATTATTTCTACTTGAAACAGTTTTGTTTTTCAGAAACCAGCGCCTCCCCCCTCCCCTTCCCGGGCAGCACAAACACTCACATTAGAATTTCCTTGGTAACCAGAAGCATTCTAAAATTTTTTTATATACATAATAAGCTTAACACTAAAAAATTGTAGTATATATGTGTGTGTGAAACTTTTTAAAAATCATATGAAAAACATCAGTTCCTTAATCTTTTTCTTTATGTGGTTTTGCTTTTTGTTATTATGTGGTGCCGGAACTAAGAACTTCAAGCATGCAAGACAATTGCTCAACCACATCCAGCCCAGCATTTCTCTGCTTTTAAAATACAAAGAGATAAAACATAGTGGAAAATTAGTGTGTTGTTCGTGTATTCTTCTGTGTTTTCCTAGGCTTTTAAGTTGAGTTAGAAATCTGATATAATTAAGTTATGGTATAATATCTTTTTCCTTTTAGATGGACACTTTTGTAAACCCACTTCGCAATTCTATGAGGAATGTTTCAAATGCAGTCAAATCCCTTCCTGATAGCTTGGCAGAGGGAATGACTAAAATGTCAGATAACATGGGTAAAATGTCAGAAAGATTAGGTCAAGATATAAAGCAATCATTTTTTAAGGTAAGAAGATCTTTTCAGTAACATCTAAGCAAGCAATTTTTGTCAACTAAGATTTATTGAGATCCTACCCAGATTTACCTTATTTCCTTTCAGAAGTCCAAAGTTATCTGGAGACAGTCTCATGAAATATTTTTCAATAAAAAAGAATAAGTTATCAGAAATACAATCAGATACTATAAAATTCACTCATCAGTCTCCTCTGTAGAATTTTTAACTGTACTTAAAGCAAATATTTAAAACTAGTCAAAATTTTCTTTATATTTTAATTCTATTATTTTTATATTTAATTCATTTTATACTATAATTCTATTTAACACTTTATTTTTATTTTTAATTCATTTTATACTATAATTCTGCTAATATTTTCTAATTTTCTTTATCTTTTAATTCTATTTATGACTAATTCATTTTTAATTTTACTGTTTAATAACAAAAAATAAGTCATTATGGAAATTAGTTACACTAATTAAAATTCATCAAAATTATAAAGTCTGATACAGTTGCGTGACAACAAACAAGGTTAAAGGGAAAAATACTAAACATATTCTTTAAACAAAAGAAAAAGGGAAGAACATCATACCTTGGAGTGGCATAGAGCAGGGATTCTTAAAATTTGTTTTTGTTTTATTTTTGCCACACCCAGCAGCACTCAGGGCTTACTCCAGGCTCTGTACTCAGGCATTGCTTGTGGCAGGGCTCAAGGTGTGTCATCTGTGGGGCCAGGGATCAAACCCTGATTGGAGATGTACAAGGCTGTCTATCTGTTGTCCCTTCACTCTGATCCCTGTATGAGAAATTTTTACACAGCCCAAGGTTTATAAACTGATAATAAAATTTCTGTGACCCCAAAATTCAATTATGGACCCAATATGTAGTTGCAACCCACAATTTAAAAACTCGGGCACAGAAGATTTTCCCAACAAGTTTTTTCCTACCATTAGCAAATAATGGGTCATAAGCTACGCAGTTTATTGTATTCTCAATTTATACTTATAATTTTCACCCAAAGATTTAAGGTTATAATCAAGTCTATAAAAGAAAACGTACCTATTTGAGTTTTCTGTTTGTTGTATCATGTTCAGTTGAAGAATAAATAATATCAAGAGATTTTCTTTAAGATGATAATTCCTTTCATTGCTTAAGTCATACTTTTCTGTTCTCATCCATTCTCTGCTGATCTCTTTTTTCTGATTATGGAGAAGGAAATTAAGTTTTTGAAAAGAGGATTATTCAAAACCATTTCTCAAATATTCTTATACAAGTTATTGAATTTTGTTCTTACCAATAACCTGAGTAGTTATAATAGATGATTTTGATGTTTCTTACTACAATAACAAATGATTATTAATAAAATGTTTCCTTTTATCCACATAATGTTTCATATCTAAAAGTTGTTTTATCAGTTGTTTTTATGCCTATAAACATTGGCCTATAAGCTTCTTAAGCTCTTTATAATAAAAGGAAATTGACATTATATTTACGGTTCATGCTACTACTTTTAGTATGATCACAGGCAGGGGAAGGATTGGAATGGGGTTGGATACTGGGGATTTTAGTGGTGGAAAATGTACACTGGTAAAGGGATGGGTAATTGATCATTGCATGACCGAAACTCAACTATCATAACTGTGTAATTGTATCTCGTGGTGAGTCAGTTTAAAAAAAAAAAGTCATATCAAAATCAGAAGTCAGTCTTTTTCAAAGAAGAAAAAAGTCTTTTATATAAAATAATCATCTTTTAATATTTGATTTCTAATTTTAGACTGTTAATACTTTGTTAATAGTATTTAAATCTTGCTTACTTATAATCCAAAACCCAAATCAATTGATATTAATTATGTTTGAAACTCATTGTGGTTTTACACTGTATTGTGTTTCCTCACTATTTTTTTTGTGTTTTACTTAATTTTTTTCTTTTTTAATGTGAGGTGCCTCCTTTAATTCCAAAGGCTGATTCAGATCCTGAACATTGTCGAGTCTCAGCTCAACTTGATGATACTGTAAGTTCATTTTATTTTTAATAGCACTCAATTGAAATTATACTTTTTAGATTTATTTTTGTTAACATTCTAAGGATGCTATGTACATTATTAATGTGCACATATTTATTTTGTTTAATTCTTACAAACTGAACATACACAGGTAATTAGCACTTTAACAAGAACAGAATGTTATTGTTATTTCAGAAACCCCTAGTCTTCTCTTCCTGTCACTATCCCTGTTCCCACCAAGGATAATCATTATCTTATACTCTTCTATTATACTTTATATAAATGAAACTGAAAGGTAGATACTTCTTTAAATCTGGCTTTCCCCCTCCTTTCAACTTTGTGAGAGTCTTGTTTTGTGTATTGTGCTTTCTGTATTCATGTGACCTTATGGTAACTCATTTTTTCAATATTTTCGTACAGTTTACTCCTGTGTTTTCAGTAGTTCTCCTGATTTTATTTAAGGTAATTAGTAACACATCCTCGGAATGGACTTGCTTGGTTAAAGGGTATTTATGAGTTCAGTTTTAATATTATTAAATAATTTTCTAAAGTGTACCACTTAAAATGCTACTATCAATACATAAGAATTACAGCTCTCTATGAGAGCGTGCATATGTTTTTTTAATTTTATATATTGGTTATTATTGTGTCTCATGGGCTGGAGCGATAGCAGAGTGGTAGGCTGTGCCTTGTGCCAGCCAGTGCGGCTGAGCCAGGTTCGATTCCTCCACCCCTCTTGGAGAGCCCGGCAAGCTATCGAGAGTATCTCGCCTGCACGGCAAAGCCTGACAAGCTCCCTGTGATGTATTTGATATGCCAAACACAGTAACAACAGGTCTCACAATGGAGACATTACTGGGCCCGCTCGAGCAAAAAATCAATGAACAACGGGAGGACAGACAGATTGTGTCTCATGCACATTTCCATTTCTGAAATTTTGGACTCCTTTTCACTTGTTTATTGATGATGTCTTACTCATTTTCCTATTGGCTTTGACTCTTTTTGTCTTTTCGTTTAGTGAGAATGCTTTGTATAATATGAATATTGGTCAGATGTGCTTATTTATGTACAGATTTTTCCTGACCTAGAGTGAGTTTACATCATAAATGGAGAGTGTAGAATTTTGTTTGTATTCGGGGGAGTGACCTCTGGTGACTTCTGCTCAGGGGTGACTTCTGGCAGTGATCAGAGTACTTTATTCGATGCTGGGGATCTATTTGGGGTTGGTCTACGTACTTTAGTATTATACATCTGGAAACATTGTTGAGCTGAAAAATTGATTTAAAATACCTATAAAATATTACATCTTAGTCTACCTTATCTACACATGCTTTGAGCACTGTCTGTGTAAGTTTGGGCAGACTCAAACAAAACATTTCAGAGTAAAGTTTCTAGCATCTCATGGAATGTATTGAATATAGACTTGACTTGATAGAAAACAACAGACACATGTCTAAAAACACTGGCAGCACAATAGCGTAGTGATTTTTTACCCTTGTGATTGAGTGACTGACAGCTATAGCAGTGCCCAGGTTCACTTGAGAATATCAGAGAGTATTGAACACATATTGCTAGCACACATGAAGATAAAGAATCAAAGTGGAAGCTTGCCACAAGAGTGTGTCGACCCACATCCAAATGAACAAAAGCAACCAGTGTTGGCGCGGATGTGGCAAGAAAGGGACCCTTCTTCACTGCTGGTGGGAATGCCGACTGGTTCAGCCCTTTGGAAACAATATGGACGGTTCTCAAAAAATTAGAAATTGAGCTCCCATTTGACCCAGCAATACCTCTCCTGGGAATATATCCCAGAGAGGCAAAAAAGTACAGTCAAAATGGCATTTGCACTTGCATGTTCATTGCTGCACTTTTCACAATAGCCAAAATTTGGAAAAAACCCAAGTGCCCGAGAACAGATGACTGGTTAAAGAAACTTTGGTACATCTATACAGTGGAATACTATGAAGCTGTTAGAAAAGATAAAGTCACAAAATTTGCATACAAGTGGTTCTAAATGGAAAGTATCGTGCTAAGTGAAATGAGCCAGAGAGGGGCAGACATAGAAAGACTGCACTCATCTGGGGAATATAAAAAAATATATAAGCAGAATGGAAGATGAACACCCAAGAATAGTTGAAATAAGTACCAGGAACTCTGCTCCACTGCTTGGAAGCTGGCAGCACATGCTGGGGAAAAAGGCAGCTCAGATAGAGAAGGGAACACCAAGTAAAGGATGTTTGGAGGATCCTCCCAGGATGGGAGATGCATGCTGAAAGTAGACTATAGACCGAAGACGATGGCCACTCTATACCTCTATTGTAAACCACAACACCCTAAAGGAAAGAGAGAGCAAAATGGAATGCCTTGCCCACAGAGGTGGGGTGGAGTGGTGGGGATGGGGTGGGGGGTGGGAGGGCTACTGGGATCATTGGTGGTGGAGAATGGGCACTGGTAAAGGGATGGGTACTTGATTGTTGTATAACTGAAACCCAAGCACCTAAGTTTGTAAGTCTATAACTGTACCTCATGGTGTTTCACTAATAAAAAGAAAAAAAAAGTGTGTGGAGGTGAAAGGCAGTTAGAATAGAAAAGGGACCAACGGGACAATAATAGTTGGAAATGATCATTTTGAACAGGAGTGTTGAAAGTAGGTAAAGGGATATACCTGATAACCTTTCATTATTGTATTGCAAACCATAAGGCCCAAAAAAGGAGGACGTGAGGGAAGAAGGGAGGGAGGGGCAGGCAGGACTACTGTAGTGGGAGGCAGGGGGCAGGAGGGACACTGGAACCATTGGTGGAAAATATATGCTGTGAAGGGACGGGTGTTGGAACATTATATAACTGACATCCAATCATGAACAACTTTGTAAATGTGTATATCACTGTGATTTAATTTTAAAAAAATGAACCGTCTCACAGTGATTCAATTTTTTTAATTACAAAGAAACCAGGAAAAAAACTAGGTTTTTTTTTATATAATAACAACAACAACAAAAAAGAATCAAAGTGTGTTGCTTACTATTACAAATTTGAAAAATTATAAGCTAACCCATCTTAATGTCAGGTACCATCCGTACTGTGTGTTTCTTATATTTTGTAGCTTTTGTGCACTGCATATATGTGTGTGTGTGTGTGTGTGTGTGTAGTATATATACACATAGTATATATATGTATGTATGTGTGTTATATATATATATATATATATATATATATATATATATATATATATGGGTTGGAGCGATAGCACAGCAGGTAGGGCGTTTGCCCTGCACGCAGCCAACTTGGCCGATCAGAATTCGATTCCTCCACCCCTCTCGGAGAGCCCGGCAAGCTACCAAGAGTATTCTGCCTGCATTACAAAACCTGGCAAGCTACCCGTGATGTATTCAATATGACGTATTCGGTGCCAAAAACCGAAACAAGTCACACAATGGTGATGTTACTGGTGCCCACCCGAGCAAATCAATGAACAACGAAAGGACAGTGCTACAGTGCTGTGTATCACATATGAGTGTTGTCATCCAGTTTTCCCCCCCTCTCATTTATTTCCCTTGATATTATGCTAATCCCTTCCAGACTATTGCAAAAGACAGGATTTCACTGATTCTAATAGCAGAGTTGTATTTCATGTGTTTATGTACAATTTTTTTATCCACTCATCTGTTCTTGGTCACTTAGGTTGTTTCTAGATCTTGGTTATTATAAAAAGCACTGTAGTGAACGTTGCTGTGTATGTATCTATTCAAATTAACGTTTTGTGTTCTTGGCTTTGATGCCAACGATCGAAGTTGCTGTGTCATATAATTTGATGGTTCTGTTTTTAACTATCTGAGAAGTTTCCATAGAAACTAAACCACTCAACATTGCCAACAGTTAATGAAGGTTTCTTTTATACTAATCCTAACCCTTACTTTTTGTTTCTGGGCTTTGTAAAAAAATTTTTATTTAGTCACCATGAATTATTCGTGATTGGGTTTCAGGCATAAAATATTTCAACAGGATCCTGTCACCAGTGTCCATGAAAGTCACTTTTTTTTAAAATATATTTTTTGAGGAGGCTTTAATTTTTTAATCTCTGTAAGTCACAGATAGAAAGTTGTTCATGTTTGAATTTTAGTCATACGATGTTCAAACCTCTGTCTTTTCACCAGTGTACATTAATACATTTTTGCATTTACAATACTGTTGCAGATAGGGTTTCATATACAACACTTAATGCCTTTTAGTGCCACCTCCTCTTCCTTATTGAACACTTTGCTCTGGTATAGTCATTGCTCCCTTCTGTCCTATCCTTTAGCGACCCCCGCTGCCCTCCCCACCCCCCACCACCAAGTGGCATGTTTTCTGCTTGTTTCCATTATCTTTGGACATTTGTTATTCCAGCGGTTTTGGGGTTTTCTGTTTGTTCGTTTTTAAATATATATTCTTCATGTAAAAGAGATCATTTTATGTCAGTCTCTCTACCTCTAACTTAACTTCACTAAGTATGATACTGTCCAGCCTCTCAAGATAGCAGCAGATTGCATGATTTTATCTTTGTTATGGCTGAGTAACATTTCATTGTGTTTATTTACCAAAGTTTCTTTATCCAGTTATGTTGGACATTTGAGTTGTTTGTTTCTGGACCCTTTGATATAGGATATTCTCACTATTATGAGGTGATATAAATTCTAAGGCAGATTGATTATAGTGTTAATTTTATTTCCCTTTGGTTTCTCAATGAATTTCTTTGTGACAAAAATAATTTTTAAAATGCTTTGTTACATATTTTGCTGGTATAATATTCATAATATACCTTTTGTTGTATATGCTTTTATAAATTAATGTTTATTAGGTATGTCATTTGTGAGATAACACACTTAAAAATATATCTGATTAATGAATAGAGGAATTTTATTTTGCTTCCATAATGAAATAGTTTTCTCTCGCCCTTTTACTAGGTTAGGTTAAGTGATGAGTTTTAAATGTGAAAAGGAAGTTTTAATAGAACAGTTTTCTCAGTGTGACCATGAAAAATAATTAGTTCATGCTCTTTTCTTAGTTTTTAAATTGTAACACTGAAAAGGAAGTGAAGAGCAAATTCACTATCACTATCCTACCATTGTTCATCGATTTGCTCAAACGGGCCCAATAACATTATGAGACTAGTTACTGTGTTTGGCATATCGAATACGTCACGGGTAGCTTGCTAGGCTTTGCCATGTGGGCAAGATACTCGCGGTAGCTTGCCAGGCTCTCAGAGGGGTGAAGGAATCAAACTCAGGTTGGCCCCATCAGCCACATGCAAGGCAAATGCCTGCTGTGCTATCAAAATATAAAAGCATATAATTATTATTTAAGGTTAAAGGAAGGATATTAGTGAACGTGTCTTTGAATGTTAACTTTTAGCTCTCTGAGTGTTTTTTTTTTAATTAATGAAACACCATGAGGTACATTTGTAGACTTACAAATTTTTGTGCTTAGGTTTCAGTCATACAATGATCAAGTACCCATCCCTCCACCAGTGCCCATTCTCCACCCCCACCAATCCCAGTATCCCTCCCACCACCCCATCCCCCCATCCCACCCTGCCTCTGTGGCAGGGCACTCCCTTTTGTTTTCTCTCTCCTTTTGGGTGCTGTGGTTTGTAAAAGAGAGATTGGGTGGCAATCATGTTCAGTCTATAGTGTACTTACAGCATGCATCTCCCATCTTGAGCGGATCCTCCCAACACCCTTTATTTGGTGCTCCCTTCTCTATCTGAGCTGCCTTTACCCCTAGAGTGTGCGGCTGGCCACCAAGCCATGGAGTGAACCTTCTGGTATTTATCACAGATATTCTTGGGCTGGAGCGATAGCACAGCGGGTAGGGCGTTTGCCTTGCACGCAGCCAACATGGCCGACCCGAGTTCGATTCCTCCGCCCCTCTCGGAGAGCCCGGCAAGCTACCGAGAGTATTTGATATGCCAGACACAGTAACAACAAAGTCTCCAATGGAGACGTTACTGGGCCCGCTCGAGCAAATCGACGATCAACGGGAGGGCCTTTACTTTACTTTTACTTATTCTTGGGTGTTAGTCTCCTATTTTGTTACTTTATGTTCCCCAGATGAATGCAATCTTTCTATGTCTGTCCCCCTCTTTCTGGCTCATTTCAGTTAGCATGATATTTTCCATGTAGTACCATTTGTATGTAAATTTCATGACTTCATTTTTTCTAACAGCTACATAGTACTCCATTGTGTAGATGTATCAAAGTTTCTTTAACCAGTCATCTGTTCTGGGGCACTCTGAGTGGTTTTTATTTTAGTTTCTATTTCCTGAAAATTCCTAAATACAAACAACCCCTTAGCCAAGGAGGGGGACGACAGAAAAACATAGTCTGTGTAGATTGTGTTTTGTCTATTAAATAAGAAAAAATGTTGATAATATTTTGCTATTTTGAAAAAAAGCCTATTAAGTTAAAAAATGAGCTACCATTATTTGCCTTTTCTACATAGTACTTATTAAATGCCTAAAGTGAAGAATCCAAAATCATCCTTTCCTTAGACTATGATGAATCCATTTGAGACTTTTGGGGGTTTTGTTTGTTTGTTTTTACTTCATCCTTAAAGTCTACTCATCATAATAGGTTTGTAAAATCCTGCATTCTATCAAAATGATTTAAAAGTACCCCCTTTTTTTTTTGGTAAAGAAGAATTAGTATCAGATTTTGAAAGATGTGCTGTAACTTTTTCTCTGTCAGATAGTACCAATCCTTATGCAAAAGAAACCACTCATATTGTATCTTTATTTCTTCCATATTTTGTCAGGTGGATGACAATATTCCACTGAGGGTAATGCTGCTTCTTATGGATGAAGTATTTGACTTAAAAGAGAGAAACCAGTGGTTGCGAAGGAATATAAAAAATCTGCTTCAACAACTTATTAGAGCTACATATGGTGACACTATAAATAGGTACATTCTCCCCTCTTCTAGCCTTAGAACTGATCTTGGCTCTTCAATGATAATTACTTCATGAAGTAAATCTACAACATTCACAGGACTCTTCTTCAGTGGGCCTTTTATGATCATGAAAGCAGTCTGTTATTTTCAGAGATACTTGAAATACAAATAAACTTGCTGTTCATGCAACTATTGATTTTACTGTTCACCTAATATTTTTACTGTACTTACTTAAGTTTCTTTACTTTCAGAAAAATTGTTGACCATGTTGACTGGATGACATCACCAGAGCAAGTAGCTGATTTAGTGAAACGTTTCAGGTAGATCTTAAGACACTTGCTTTCTTATATAGTACAGAGAAAACATTTTTCTCTCTAATTAATGTTCATTGTTTTAGTTTTTGTTATGACCATAAAGTTGTTTTGATGATTTCACTGATGAGCAAAATAGTTTGTTTGATTTATTACAATAAACACTTATCCCATTGAACCTGTTGATTTTTTTTCCAAAAAAAACCCAGAAAAGGAATTTAAAAAAATCTGTGTTTTTAGATGACATTTTAGCACAATGATGTGGCTTTAAGTAATTGAAATACTGCTATAGAAGTGACTTGAATTTCTAAAGGATTATTTTTTCTAGGAGGTTCTATATAACAACTTTTATTTTTGATGAAAAAAAGATTTAATGTCTATGACTCTGACCATGGTCTAATTTTTAATGAATATTTGAACCTTTGAAAAGAATACAGGGCTGGAGCAATAGTACAGCGGGTAGGATGTTTGCCTTCCATGTGACTCACCCAGGTTCGATCCTCGGTATCCCATATGGTTCCTGAAGCACCACCAGGAGTGATTCCTGAGTGCAGAGCCAGGAGTAACCCTGAACATCAATGGGTATACCTCCCCCCCAGAAAAAAAAGAGAAAAGAACACAAATTTAGAGTAGTAATGCTTCGAGTTTCATATGTTCTTTTTGTGAAAATATTCTGAACCTGTGCCTACCCATCTGCCAGTCATCAGGGGCTGAGAGATAAGATGTTGTTCCTTCAAGGAAAGTACTGCATAGTAGAAAAATAAAAAGTAAAATAAAGGACATAAATATTCATAGCATCATGTACTTTGAAGTAAATAGAAACAAGAAGGGAACTATTAATTTTGAACACTATCTGCTCAACACTGTGCCAGTTACTTTATATAGGCTTTCTGATCTTATATGTTTGATGAGGTACGGATTTGCCTCCATATTGTTTTGAGGAAATAAAGGGTTAGCAAAGTGCACAGTTTGCCTAAAGACTTATTATGCACGCTAAAGTGGGAGCCAGGTATTTTAAGTTTCTTCTCATTAAACCATACTGTTTCCAAAAGTTGCATAACTGTCCTGTTGCTTAATTTTCTGTTTCAAGTAAGATAAGAATGATGTTTTGCTGTAGTGGTGATTCTTAATTTTGACTGTACATTGGAGAAGTTTATTAAGTCTGTGGTTGTGTCTCATCCTTAAGAATATGACTTAAGTCAGTCTAGAGGAATACCTGAACATTAAGAAATTTTAAAACCCCCTGATGTTTCTAATGTGCAAATTAAGAATGATGTTGGTGGTGGATTAGAACTTTCAACTTCATCCGTCATAACACATTCCCAGATAGAAGATTAGTTAAGCAGTTCTTACCTTGATCCCAGAACTAACGGATAAGAATTAAGTATGTTGTTAAAAAGTGAAGCAAAAGATTATATATTTGGGGGGAAAGTCTTAATACAATTACAAGGTGCTCTCTAAACTGTGCAAGACAATTGAAGGAGGTTAAGTTTAAGCTATTGAAATTCAGAATTCTTAGAGCTGTGTTTAGATGAAGTATTCAGTAATATTCAATCTTAGTGAGATGAGAGGCGTACTTTGAGTGTAAATGACTTTGATATAGTCACCTACATATTTTGTCCTTTAAAAAGTAATTTTTTGGTGCTTTTGAGTTATTTCAGGCCAGAATTTCTGTTAATTTTCTTGGGTATGAATATATGTATTTATGCTGGAAATAAGACCTACATTTAGTTTTGATTCATTGAATTGCTTGTAAAATTTCAGAAACATTTTCTTTTTGTTTGCACATGTACTTTGTGTATCTGTTGAAAATTGGAATTGTTTTGCCAGCTTATTAGAAAATGAAAATGTTTACAAAATTTATTTAATCTCCTTAAAGAGATGCCTTTTGGCCGAATGGCATTTTAGCAGAGACTGTTCCATGCAGAGATAAATCTATTCGAATGAGAACAAGAATTGCAGGAAAAACTAAATTACTTTCAATTATGCCAGGTAAGTGAATTTGTTTGATATATGACTTTTTTGCAATTCTGTTGAATTCTTATCACTGAATGAAGATGCTTATATTAGTATAAATAAGTATAATAAATTTAAATGAGTATATGTATAATCAATTTAAATTAGTAATAATATTTATAGATGTAGGATAATATTAATAAATAAGTATGATCAGTATAAATAAGTATTATATAAAGTTTAGTATATGGGTTTTTTATGTTTGTTGGGAGCCACACCCTGAAGTGTGAGTAGGGAGCTCTGTGTTCAGGAGTCACTTGTGGGGTGCTAGTGGTCAAGCCTGGGCCTGCTATATATAAAGCCCCAAGCCTCCTTTTGATTTTCCTACCTACCAATTTGATGGCTCAACTATTTACTGAGCACTGTGCTAGGCATTAATCCTAATTTCACATATATCAATTAATCCTCATAAAAATAGTATTATGAAGCCAAACTACTGTTAATATTACAGCTTTATATGGAAGGAAACTGAAGTTAAGAAAGTTTAGCCACCCAAGATTTAAAGCTAGTTAGTGACAGATGGGATTCTGACTCAGCTCTGAGTGAGTTGGTGACTTGAAAGCTCATGTTTTTAATGATATCTCCTTACTGCTAGGAAACGTTTTGAGAATAACATTGATAATAAAATATATGACAGATGAAAGGATTAAAAAGGAGTAAGATAGATGAGACTTTCAAGAACAGTTCACTTATGAGAACGAATTACTTCAAAATCTGTTTACTTTGAAATAACTGATTAAATAACTGATTGACTCATTATCAGTACTTTTTAAGATACAGTCTCAAAGAGTGTATCCAAGGTGGAGTTCTGTTCGTCTAATTTGAATTACTGCCTGAGAACATAGCTATCTTGCTGCCTTAGTATTATATTGTCCCTTTCATCTTTTCTCAGTAGGAAGGTAACAGTTTTGTATAACTGATTGTTTCCTTTGTTTATGAATAACTTTAAAGACACATTGTGGATGGAAAAGAAATATTTATTGAGCTCTTCAACTAGTTACTGGTAGCTCTCTTGAATGTGGCTTAACAAACACAAATTTCAGGACCAGTGTTACCATGTTAATATCCTAAAGCCCTTCTCTTCCTGTAATCTTGTATTTCGACTTTTTCTTCTGTTCAATAAAAAAATTAACCTTTTTGGAACTTACAACTTGTTGGTGGAGAATACAGAAAACACAGTGTGCAATTACTGTGGCGATGACAGTGCAGGAAAAGGAAAGTAATAGGTGAGCTGTGGGTATAGGAAGAATGGCCAGAAATAATGGCCTCTCCCCTTGAGAAGTTAAAGAACTAAAAGCAATAAAGGTACATAAAAAAATACTTAACTATTTCTAAGTTACGCGATTTTGAACTTAACTGCATTTAATTTTAAGCATTAGTTTAAGTGTTACGTTTTCTTTGATTAATGATTTTTGTGTATTTTTTTCCTCTCTTCATTTAGATGAACTGAAGCACATTATTGGGGCTGAGACCACAAGGAAAGGTATTCTTCGTGTATTTGAAATGTTTCAGCACAACCAGTTAAATAGGAGAATGGTTTATGTCTTCTTGGAAGGCTTTTTGGAAACCTTATTTCCACAGTATAAATTCCGTGAACTTTTCAACAAACTGCATTCACGGTCAAAGCAGATGCAGAAATATAAACATAAACTTCAAACTCAAGCGCCTTCTTTGCAAAAAAGGTGACCCTCCAATCTATGAAGCTGGTGTTCATTTTGTCCAAGACTAATGCTATGGACATCTTCTGGGGCTTAACTCATACTATTGTGTCTGCACCAGTCTTTAGTGTCTCAAAATAGATTAATACATCCATAAGACTGTGATTCTTCTCATCCTTGTCTATAATTCAACCACTACAAGAGAGATGTTTGTGTCTTAAATGATTTGGTGCATATTTTTGCAACAGTGAGAGGATACTGCCCCCATCTCAAGCAAGAATGACATCAGTCTCTTTAAACTATTCAGCTTTCTCCAGCAGTGACAAAGTGCCAGAGTGTGTATGTAAGAGCTAAGGAAAGCACAAAACAGTGGTTTGCAGATAAATTGGCTAATTTATTTAACAGTGGGGTACTGTGCAATGTATAATTTGGAGGGATTTGTTTTGAATAATGGTTTTATAGGTTTTTGTCACATATTTAATATGGTGTGGATTAGATAGGTGAATCTTTAGAGCATCTGTTTCCAGTCTGGGGATCATGACAGAATGTCCTTAAAGTATAAAGTAACTTGCTATCTGAATTACAGTTTTTTGACTATAAACATTTTAAAATGTTATTCGTTGGCATAAATTTTTAATTGGTTCCTTTGTGTTTTAAGGGCTCTATTTTGCTCTTCTGATATGCAATCATACATCTTCTTTTGGCATTTTGTGTGCAAAAAGAAGCATATGGTGGCTCTCATTTAAGTTTCAAAATTATTCCAGTTTTCTTTATCCTGAGATTACTGATTATACAGTAAGGGGTTTAATTTGCTCAAAGAACTGCCAAATACATTCTGTCCTAAAAAACATGAAAAGTAAAAATACAATACACTATTTAAAGTTATCGTTAGGTACAGTTTTAAATTGTGTGATCTAGATATACTTAGGTAAGTGCAAAATTAGCCTATAAAGGAATTAAGTGAGCTTCTTTAGTCACATGTAAACATACAAATTTTTAATTCTATTACAGTGTACATATATGAAAATAATGAAAACAGATCCTAATATTTTTTAAAATATGCTTTTATTTATATTTTGCATAATGTAAAATTCTACTAACTAAAGCAAGTTGGCGAAAACCCTTAATGTATACATTTAAGTCCCTAAAATAATTTTATACCAACACCAAAAAAAAATAACTTTTCCAGTTTTGAAGACTGCATTTCCTATAGTTTTCTTGTTTTTTGTTGTCCATGTAGGAAGAGCTCATATCCCCTGTATGCAGAACTTCTGCATAGTTTTAAATATTTTCACTGACTAAGGGTTTGGATATGTCAGCCTTTTTAGTTTCAAGAATATTAAACACTAAAACCTTAATATAGTAAAGCTACTTATCAGACCACTGAACCAAGATCCTGGTATTAAAAGAACATCTGGGTGCTTAAGACAAAAGGACAGAGTATTGGTATCCCAGTTATTTGGGAGCTTTAAGATTGGAACAAGATATTATCGTTTGGTTTTCACTGAGATCCTGCTTAAACAGTGAAACCTATTAATAGAATAAAGCGTTCCTTTAGAGCTTTATAATCATATTTATTAATAATGCTGTTGTGCATACTTATTGTATGCATGAATTCAGCATGTCTTGCATGTCTTCAGAATTACATAAGTGAAAATTCCTTTCATTTTAATTTACAGATGAGCAAAGATCCTTATTTTCTGTAATGAAAAAAATACTTCTTTTCATTGTCTCCCTGCCCAGGCCCCTCCCCATGCCCCAGAATGTAAACGTGAAGATATGTGAAACATGTCTATAGGGAACATCAGCATGGCTCTAAGTGCAATGAATTTTCAAATATGCCCTTGCCTGTTTCAAGTATATTTTTGACATGAATAAATCTAATACTATACAGAAGAATTCATGTAAAAACCTAATATATAGGTGTGAAAAAAGTGTTTCTAGATAATATGAGAAATGCTGACCATTAACCAGGGAAATAAAGGTCATGCAAGATTTCAAATTTTCATAACAGATCCCTGCAAGGTAACTGCAATCATACCAAAAACTATTTGAATAAATGGGTTTTTAAAATGTTATTTGTTTAAAAGAGTATATATTTCAAACACAGAAATGTCAAATGGCAGTCTGTAAATGGTTGTGCATCTTCTCTATGCACATTTATGGTTTACATCAGAGGGAGCTGTGGTCATACTAAAATTAATGATACTTTTTGAATGACTTGGTCAAGCCGTGTATAAAATATTTAACCCATAAGTCAAGTACAGTGTACTATGTTTAAAGTTATTACATTAATGCATTTACTGCATCTATGAATATATACATGAAGAAGCTTTATGTCTTCAGATATTTGACTTTTAAATGTGATTTTAAGTCATAGGTGCCTTTAGGCATGGACTTTCAAAATTATCATTCTTTGTTTCAGTTTTCTGATTTTTCAGGTAACACATAAGCTACTTAGAAAAACCATCACTGCTAACTTACAGTTCACCTAAAATATTGACTCTATGATTTCAGTATAGCACTTAAATGGGCATTGCCTACAATTAAGATGTTCTGAATAGTTGCTGGAAATAATTGTGCCACTTGACCAATGGATGCACTTGGTTAGCCTTAATTTTTTTTCCAAAAACACTTAAAATTTCTGAAATATTTTAGTTTGTTCATTTTAAGTTTGTATTGCTGGTATTTGGGAAGGAAATCACGGTTCAGTGCTTTCAGAGAGTGAACCATTTTTTTAAAAAAATTAAGAATAATAATTTTCACGGTCTAAAATTTTAATTTTGTGCAATATTTTTGTTTAATGCATGTGTATTTGAGTAATTGTAAAATAAATGAATTTTTAATGTTTTGAGATCAAGTTTAAACTGTCATCTTAACTCAACAACTTACATTCCGTTGTTGCATTATTTTATTTAAGGACTTGTTTTAAAAGTCTTTATTGTCACATCTTGTAAAATTTCTTTGTTATTAGTAAATTTTGCTTATAGGAGCTTTGTTCCTATATTCAAGAGGAAAATATAAAGAGCACATCTTAGGATTTTAATTGTTAAAAGATAACTTGTGCATATCATTGTACATAAGTGTCAACTGTGTGCCTAATTATTCTATCAATACTTTCCTTCAACAAAGAATAAACAACGGTCAGAATGTTATTTTTATGGAGCTAAAAATATTAAAATTTTTATTTGGTTTGTGTTATGTTCTGTCCATTAGAAATTACTAATAAAGTATTAACAAATCTTTTTGTTGAATTTATATAATAGTGATATATTTTTATTTCTTACTAAATATTGCTTACCAAAATGTTTTATTTTTAGTATCTGAGTATATTTTATTTTTTCATTTAGAAAATAAGCAATTTAAGATCCTGTTTATTAGATGAGTTAATGAGTGACTATTGACTTGACATGGAATTAATTTTTTTCTTTTATAAGGCAAGTAATTTGCTCCCACAATGTTAAAGAAACTTTATATTTTCCTGTCATATAAAATGATTATGTGAATTTTTCATAGAATAAGTAATTAGAAATTTTTAATTTTTTTTATAGTCTTCCTAATATTTTAAATATTTTTGTTCTAACGGCAGTTTATTCAGTACTCAGCATTGTAATCATACTTGATTGGTCATAATATTTTCAGGCTTCTTAGACATTTCATGTGATGTCTACAGTTCTTCCAGGAACTTACATTGTAATTTTGGACCATGTAAATATTGATCCTTTTACAGAGCCCTCGGGGACAGGATGTGGTATCATATGTACAGATATGAACCTGTACTCTTAAAATATGTAGTATTATAAACCAATGTTACCTCAAAAATGAATAACAAAAATGTCCCTCAGGAATAGTTTTATATCTATGTAACCCATGCAAATTTACTTATTACCCAAAACTTGGAAATGTTTCTTTACAATTTAAATGCTTATACCAAGAACTCTGAAAAGCCCTATAATAACTAAAACCTTATTGACTTTTTTTACCAAGCTTCCCAAACTTAGTTAACCACAGAATCTTTTGTAACAACCTGTTAATTAGAAAACAGTGTTATCAAGAAACATGGTTTGAAAAAATCTCAGTGCTAAGGGGAGGGGGAAAAAGTGAAATATATTGACAATCTAAGGGAAGTTCTTTATGCTGATATATATATATATCTATATACATATGTATATGTATATATGTGTGTGTATATATATATTATATATCAGCAAGATAGTGTTGTTTTTGGCAATGGATACCAAAATAACCAACAGCTCAGTGAGAAGTAGTATAATCCATATTTTGTGGAGAGGACTTTTCAAGGATCTTGTTAACGTAATCAAAAGAGGAGTAATTAGGGGAAGAGAGAAATATAATACCAGTTTTGAAGGGTGAACCATACGTAAGTTCATATAAAATGACAGGTGCAAGTATTGGATAATTTAAGCATTGGGAAAATGCAGGAACTGGGGATCTAGTATTTCACAAAAAAATTAAATAGAATGAAAATTAGGCTTAATCGACACATGCCTATACCTATGTATAATGTTTGATGAATGTACGGAATGTGATATTTTAAGTTAATAAATGTTATCAAAGTTGGAATGTAGCAGTAGGACCATGTGCTAAAAGTCCCCCAAGACGTACAGGTACGTCTGGTTATTCTGTAGGAGAGCTGGTAGGATTCAGTGTCAAGATTTGTTACAGCCAGTGGATATTAATGAAGGGCTGGGGATGTAGCACCACAGCAGAGCACATGCCTAGCATACTGAATCCTGGGTTCAGTCTCCAACAATGGGGGAGGGAGGATATAGAAGATCAAAGGAAAAACATCAGTGGATGAGGTGTGAGGAAACCTGACACAAGTTCTCAATGTTCTTCTCAGTGGCATCACATAGGTGTATTTAATTCTCCCCCAGCCCTGAGTTGTTACCACACCTGTGAAATGAGCCACCTGGAGTAGCTCAGTCAGAACTAATTGCTTGCAAATTTATTAAGGTAAATCATCTCGGCACTCTTTCGATACTTAGCGTGTACCAAAAATCTGCACTTCTAGAGGGAAAGCACATGTTAAGCACTAACCATATTTTTGTGTATAAAATTTAAACATAGCCATTTTTATCCTTTTTCACAATGGTGGGAATCATAATTCTCAGAATTGGACATCGGCCAGCTCTGTAGGCAGCCTTTCCAAAGGACTGCAGTCAAACATGCGTATTCAATCTTCTCCACAACTGTATACCTCGATATAAAAAAAGAGCTAATAGAAAATGCTAAGTTACACAGGTTAGTAAGTTTGATCCCTGCATTGAAACCTCACCTCCTATGGAAGCTTAGAAAGTTTTATCCCTGTATAAAAACCTCAGCTCCTAGAGGTGTGAAAACAGCAGGGTATTTAAATAGATTAAAGAGGGGAAAGATCATGTGATAGTTTTATATAGAAATAGAAAAACCAAAGGATTCGGAACACACATCTTTAAAGAATTCCAAAGAGTGTATTATTTGCAAAAGCAAGAGAATTGGGACAATTAGAGTTGATATGTGTGATATTGAAAATAGTTTATTATGTTATACCTTAGTACTTGAAATGGTCTATCCTATTGAAAATCCAAGAAGCTGGAAGAACTGATTTATGTATTTCTAATAAAGATTCCCAGAGGAAATAGTTTATAATATTTCTAATCACAACTTTTTAACGTGTCAGGTATTGTTTTCTTCTCCAGTTTATACAAGGGAAAACTCAGGTGGACAATGATTGAGTCAATTGCCCCAAGTTTCACACCTGGTTAGTGATGAGGCTGAAATCTCAACACAGGTGTTCTCTAGAATCTCTTAGTTCTCCACAGTATCACGATTATTTGGGGCTGCATAATTCCTTCTTTTGGGGCTTGTCCTACGTAGTGTTTAGCAGTATCTGTGGTATTTACCCACTAGATAATTCCAGTGGCACTACCCCCACTCCCAGTTATAATAAAAATATTTCCAGATATTGTCAAAGAATGTCTTGAATCAAAATGACCACCAGACAAGATTCTTTGATCTGTGCTCTTGGTCCAAAACAGGATAAAATGGGGATTAAAGGCTTCAGTTCTGGATAGGTGTTTATAAGCATGTAAAATTTGTGAGAATGTAAATTGAACACTTTGCATTAAGCTAATGGGGAAGTGGGAAGGCTAGGGAGAGGGAAAAATTGTTCACTTTTTTTAACTTTCCGTAGTTATGGTGGGGGAAGGGAAAGTAGAGGAAAAGGTATTTGCAATTTAAGATAAACAGATTCTTCTTTAAGATGTGAGTTAAATGAGAAATTTATATGAGAACTTTATATGAGAAAATTGCTGTTTAACTCCTGTGACTAGGCTATTAATTTGATAGCTGTGGGATATTTTATTTTCAAACGACTTGTCCTAAACATATTGCAGTGACTGTTGTCCGTTTAATTTTGTGAGTTCTTCTAGAGCCTGAATATTACTTTGCAGTCTTCTTTATAAATAAAGGTCCTTTCTAAATGCTTTTGTGTCTGAGTTTTCCTTTAACAAACAGACATTCCATTTGACTTTGTCTTCAGTGGTCCTCATTCAACAATTAGAAAGCTCACCCTTGCTCATTGTTTTCTATTTTCTCTACCCAGGTTCTTACCTTGGACAAGTCTGGTTCTAATTCTGATAAGTGAATCACATTGCTTTAATTCTCAGTTTGCAGAAGCAGTGTTTAGAAGCTGATTTTTGTGGTCTGACCTTATCTGACAAGCTGCTATTTGGTTGGTGGTGGTGATGAGTTTTCTGTTGTTGTTCTTGTTGTTTTCCTGTCTTATGGATTCTAAAAGTCAGAGGACATAAGTTTAATCAAGCCAGTAACTGGTCTCACCTGTGAGATTAAGCAGTCTGCCTGATGGAGCCAGTGCCAGTAATGTTTCTTATGCCAGAAGTAGATTTCTCTGTTGTCTGTTTTGATACTATGTACCAGAAAAAAAATTCACGAATAAAGTTTTTTCTCCTGTGAAAAGTAGCTTCTTGCCATCTTAGAATCTGACTGCCCTCCTTCCAGTGCTGCTACAACAAATTAGTAAGTATTAACATTGTAACAGTAAGCCTGCTTTTTTTGAAAATGTGGTGAAATATCTCTATAAAAGGAAAGCATATTTTGTTATTTATAATTATAATAATTTCTGGTTGGCACTTGCCCATTTTATGGTCTCAACTTATGAAAATTACTTTGGTATAAAAATGATAATTTATATGTACAACTGGTAATATTTCATTGAAAATCCAGATAAAGTTGTCAACTAGGAGACCGTGAACAGGTTTAAGAAACACTTGAAATAGTTTTCTGTTTTAAGTTAGTTTTGAGACGGGAATGTTCCTTGGTTTATAGCAGTTAACACCATTTAGTGCTGGAGCGATAGCACAGCGGGTAGGGCCTTTGCCTTGTACTCAGCCAACTCGGCTGATCCAGGTTCGATTCCTCCACCCCTCTCGGAGAGCCTGGCAAGCTACTGAAGAGTATCTCGCCCACAGGGCAAAGCCTGGCAAGCTACCCGTGACGTGTTCAATATGCCAGACACAGTAACAAGTGTCACAATGGAGATGTTACTGGGCCTTCTCAAGCAAATCGATGAACAATGGGAGGACAGTGACATAATGTAGTGTTGGGCTAGAACTGCAGGTTTTTAATAGGAATGACTTCTTTGAACTGTTGGAAGCTTTGATTTCTTAAGATTCTTGGAGGATGTTGAGTAGTCTGATTTTTCCTCTTCATTTCTTAAAAAGATATCTTTGAACTAGGTGAACCATTTGAACTACAATTAACTGGATAAATATATGAAAAAGAACTGTTAAAAACAAATGACATATATACACATTTTGACTGAAATATTGTGTAAATATTCTTGCTCTAAACTTAAGTTCCCAAACTTGCCCAGGATTGGATAAAATTATTGTATTACCTCAGTAGGAAATAATTCCTAATTATGTGTGTTGGTAAACTTGTATATCTTTTTTTTATCTTCATGGATACATAATAATAAAATACTACATTTAATGGAGATTCTCCTAATTTGATCACATAGACCAAGTAAAACATATAAAATAAGGAAACAAAATAATTTTCAGAAAGTAGGAAGTCCCCTGGGAAAGATTAGAAACTATTTAAGGAAGCTCAGATATTTACTAAAGAAACTGAGTAAAGTTAACCATTCTTTAAGTTTATGGCCTTGATTGCTGAGATGCTAGAAACAAAAGCATAACTGTTACCAAATAACAAGAAA